ATTGCCTATGCTTCGTATGAAGGCCATACTTTCACGATAAACACCATCTTCAATGCGATTCCAAACTTACCGCCTGATAGGAAGGTCTGCATGTAAAGTGATGCAGAGACCGGTATCTGCTTCGGTGTCGCCTGAAATCTCTACTTAAAAGTCAAAGTCTGGCCAACTAGCCTACTCAGTCTACAATTTACCGGTACGAGTCTAGCGGAAACAAAGGTAATCCTTTTTTTAACAAGAGATTCATGAAAAAACTTCGTTACTACGCTGTTCAAATCCATTACGATTACAGCGTTACTTTTTGTTATGTTTAACATTGTATACTGTGTTTTCCCCCAAAATGCGACTGGGACTTATTTCAATTTTCTTCCAAAAAATATTTTGATTGCTTTACATGTAGGCCTACTTTATTACGTGCTAGGGTTTAGCCACTAATTGCTAAAGATTAAGCAACAATTTGGCTTCTTTCGTTTTGTTCTGTATTTATTCTATTCCCACGAGAAAACGACTTGTGCCTTTAGGTTTAGATACATCGTAAATTTATACCTTAATACAATACAATATAGATGCTTTGGTGGCAAATTTGGCCTACGCGGCTCATTAAAATTTTGTCGGGGATTTCGTCTCTCCAGATATGGTAATTCTACCTAGGGCTTATTTTCGGGGAATATCTCATATTTTCATTCGAGAGTAGAGAATTACAAAATTTTCAAATATACAAAATATGAAACCTATATTTCTGTATACCAAAAAGTAACGCGTTTTTAATCAAAATAACTGCAAAACATAGATTATTAGTCATTTAAAACGTGTAGGAGAGATTTCTCGTTACCAACTAGGTCAGTGTTTCCTAAACTTTTTAAGCCGCGCCCCCTTTGAAAAATTTTACAAACTTGCGCAACTTTTTTCTTTGAAAAACTGCTTTTGTGATGGGCCGTATGTATTTTTGACTTGGAAAATAAAAATTGAAAACTATATATCACATTACCCAATCAATACAAAAAGATCGGTGTTAATAAAATTTCAGCATTGGAAATGCCAACAACTGCCGCCTTTCCTAAGTAACAATGGATGCTAACCAGCTTGCTTTTCAATCTCAGTATTAATGCGATAATGAGGCCAACGTGATTTTCAACTTAGCAAAGAGTGAGAAGATGTGACGTGACAACTTAAACTTAAGCAGCCGCCTAGACATCTTTTTCATTCAGATAGATTTTCGAGCACGATTGTAAACCTTTGCTTGTTTGCATAGTTCTAAGTGTTATTTGTTAGTTTTTATTATGTTTGCAACATGTATCGTATTTCTCCGTGTATAACACGCACCCACGCAGGACTCTTTTAGGATGTGGAGTGTATGAAAATATTCAATAAAAGGTTCATGCATAATACGCATGGTCGAATTCACTCACTCACTTCGGTCACTTGCGCCCACCGCATTTGGTATTTTCGAGAAGCCAGCCTAGCAAGTTTCCCTGTGATTTATTAATATGTTTGCCAATTGATCAAAACAAGATTGGTCAAAACAAGCTGCAAAGCAGAGTAGGAAAAAATGATTTAGGAACATTCAGTTTTGCCGATACGGCAAAACAGAAACGAGAATATCGGTCAGAGACCGAAGACTTATCGATCGAAAGTTAGGGGATCCCCAAAACAGCGCTATTACTCCATAGTAAAACCTTGTGTCCCATCACTAATTAATTGATACCTCGCTAATTATACGACATACTTCGCCCAAAAATTAGTAGGCTTCTGGTACGAGATATGATGAATGCACATGCAAAATCTGCAGCAGTTCCAATCTCGCTTTCGTGAGATATCGCGTGCATCTAACAGACAGACAGACAGACATATACCTATCAACATACTTACCGATCTTAAGATCGATAAGTAATGAGGGACGCCAGTCTGGACGACAACAACAATTAAACTATCGATTTAAAGTGACGTTCTTATCACTTATATACACTGGTTATTGAAATAGATGCGTTGTCCTTTGTTAGACAAGATAGTCCATTTCGTGGATGTGATTCTACTGCAACAAGCATATGAGCTGGTTATAACGGGCTTTGTCACATATAGAAATAAGACAAAAAGGAAACATGTTTATTTGGCAAATGCGTGTAAAAAAACGATCAGGATTTTTTGAAATTTTGATATACTAATGTATAATACGCACCCCCGAATTTTGGAGATAAAATCCGGAACCGGAAGTGCGTATTATACACGGGGAACTACGGTAAGTATAAATCAGATAACTCAGCTCATTTTGTTCTCAGAAGTATTTTAATTGCATGGCAATAATCAAAAACACCACCGAAACGGGGCAGAGGGACGTCTTATAATTGATTAAACATTTTGGGACAAAATGGTACGTTTAAAATGTATACATTCTTCATGCGCCAACTCGCGAAAATACTCTCACAATAAGCACTAAAAATTTCGCAATGACAAGTATAGAAAGAATTTGTCTGTGTTCAAAAGTCGGAGAAACATTTGAGAATATAATATTATACATGATATTTCTCTGTATTAAAGGAGTAAAATGTTTACCTGAAGTAAATAATGATCTTTTCCACCCCATTGCAAACACTTGGAATAATGCTCATAATTTGTGAAGCAACTGAACGGATGCTCATAAGAGTCCTGCAAATCTGCAATGCAAGGAAGTGTATTAATTAATCAGCTCCGTCACTATCTTTCTCTATGCATTCACGTTCGGTACATAAGTCTACAATGTTGCTCAAATATTTCAGAGAAACTCTCGACGGAATTTTTGCTGAAATCCAGGGTATTTCATCAGCGGAAAAGTAAAGAATTTTGATATCCTTAGATAATTTATTATAAAATGGTCAGGCCTAATTGCTAATTGATTTCTGTAAGCCCTTTCCTATGATTCTTTGGGATTATAGGAGATAAACAAGTTTTATAACCGGGATTAAGCGGCGTAAATAGCTGGCAATAGCGAATATAGTCCAACGAATAGAGAGAGATAGGTGAACTTTTGAAATGGGTAGCCTACTTTAAGATCCGAAATGGAAACACACCGATGTATCATTGCTTCTAACTTTGTCGTCCGGTCAGCATTGAGTTGGTTACGGATTGAGCCAAAATTAATTTTGCACTCCAATACTGAGCAAAGGTTTTCCCTATCAAGAATATAAATCTGGCTTTTTCAGTCTGACATTCATCTGTCTGACATTTTCTGAATTTAGGATTTATAAAAGTTGTAACAGCCGACGAACTGGTGTAACAAATCATAGTATAATGAATTCGATGAATGATTCGATATCCGATGAACTGATGCTGGGAGTGATTTAAGATATTACTTTTGTAAATAAATGTTTCATGACTGACGTAAAGGGAGTTACAAATTGAATTTTTAATTTCTGATAAGGGCTTACGTTTAACATAATTTTTTTCTACACAGAGGAACAATGCCAATCAGCGGAGTCATACCATTCCGTTGGTATCAAAATGAAACTTCGATTACAAAATACGACGCGAGTTTCGGTTTGCAAAAAAATTTTCACTTATTTAAGTACATGTTTAAGTCTTTTAATTTAAACTACATAAAAAAATTATCATTATTTGCAAAATTTTTGGGGATGGATGTGGTAAAACGTAACGGAGCGTCGGGAAGTGAACTGATTAGGTAATGTGATAAATACTTTTCAATTTTTATTTTCCAGGCCAAAAATACATACGGCCCATCACAAAAGCAGTTTAAAATTTCAAAGGGGGCGCGGCTCAAAAAGTTTAAGAAACACTGACCTAGTCGATAGCGAGAAAACTCTCCTACACGTTAAATGAATAATAATCTATGTTGTGCAGTTATTTTGATTAAAAACGCGTGACTTATTAGGTAAATGAATTTCGGTTTTCAGATTTTGTAAATTTGAAAATTTTGTAATTCTCTACTCTCTAATGAAAATATAAGACATTTCCCGAAAATAAGCCCTCGGCAGGGTTACCATATCTGGAGAGACAAAATCCCTGACAAAATTTCAATGAGCTGCATAGGACAATTTTGCAACCGAAACACTTATACAGTACTGTACAGTATTATTGTATAAATTTACGATGTATCCAAAGGCACAAGCTGTCGCCGTTTTCACGTGAGCACAAAATAAATACAGAACAAAACGAAAGGAACCAAATTGTTGCCTAATCTTTAGCACAGCGTTTCCCAAACTTTTTTGGTCGCGGACTATTTTCTCAATGGCGAAAACTTTTGCGAACTCAATGTGCGTTTATCGCAACCGTACTCTGTGTGAAAAAAATATATAAAACCAGCCACAACAGAATTTTAACGAATTTCAAAATTGGAATTTCGCCTCAATTACGCGTTCCGAATTTTTTAGTGCATAGTGACCTTTTCTGTCGCACAATATTCCTTCCATGACTACGACAAGAATAATAAATGTCTTTCTATTTCAATTTGATTGTGTTCATGGACATGGTAACTCGCGTTTGCGTCGATTTACGACAAGGTGAAAGCATTACTTCTTCGAAGTGGCACGGCAATCTGCGACTATAATGATGTGAGAATATATTGCCCGATTATATTTAGTTTGGATACATATATTTTGCGAACTTGCGAATTTGTTATCGCCGTTAGAAAAATCCTACTATCTGCTATAAATTTCCAGAAAGTACAATTTGATTTAGCACTTATGAAAAACATATTTAAAGTATATCAGTAAATCAAAAATACATATTCATCGCCTTGCTTTATTATTAATTTAATTGTGATCATTTTAATCTGCGGGTGTGTTGACGAAATAAAAGCAATACTACTCGGAAAATATTATGACAATCCGTGGACACAAAAATGCGTGGTAAAGTTCCCGATTATATTTTGTTTTGATTCGCATTTTTGTGAATTCGACAAATCTGAGTTGCTCGTACAACACTTACGGCGCTCCAGTACTGTACGTACCAATGTGGAGGTAGTAAAGCAAGAAATCCTGAGAGAAAATGTCAGTGTACGTATACTAAGGTAGCAACCGAAATTTTGCGGTTTGTAATGTCTAAAAAAGCGTTTTTAATCGGTCGCGGACCATAAGACAAAACTTAAGATGTTCTCCGTTTTTTTTTCTTAGTTTTGCCGCTTTTCAATTTAGAACACTTGGGTTGACACCATTGACACTTAGCATCAGTCGGAATGTGATAGAATGTCGGATATTTTCTGAGTTTAAGATTTGTTAAAGTTGTAACAGCCGATGAACTGGAGTAAGAAATCGTACTAGAATGAATTATATAGACTTAGCGAATTGCTAAACCGGATATCGGATGACTTAATATTGAGAGCGGTATACAATATAACGTTTGTAAATAAATGTTTCATGACCTAAATTAAATAAAGGAAGCTACAAATGGAATTTCTAATTTTCTGAGTAACGGCTTATGTTTAACATGATTTTTCTATGCAGAGGCACAATTTCAATTAGCGGAGTCCATTCCGTTGGTATCAGAATGGAACCTCAATCATAAGATACGACACAAGTTTCGGTTTGTAAATAAATTGTATTACATTTATATTTGTCTTTTAAACTATTATAACAAATGATTAGTTTTTTGCAGAATATTTGTGGTCAAATTGGGCAAAACATACCGGAGCAAATGAAAAACAACAAATTTTGGAAGGTAAATTTGTATGATAACTTTTATTGTCCCTGTAATTCAGGTTGCTTAAAATTATTTTCGATAAAAAAAATTGATCAGATCAGATGTACTCAGAAAACAACAATGTAGCAAATATATATAATAGGGCAATCATAACAATACTCAAAATGAATATAATAATGAATCCTTTTTACTTATTTCATTGATTTAAGTGCCACGATTAGTTATTTACCTTTCACAATAAGTTGTATTTGCATACGCTTTAATTTTTGTTTCGGATTATCTGGGAAAAATACAGACGTTCTTCAGTCCGTAAATGCCTATTTTGCCCTGTCTTGTGTGATAAAAATACCTTTAAAACAAGATTGTACTAAGGTTAAAAATAACTCGATGTTGAACCATTAATTAACAAACGTATTCTTAACCTACAATCGTAAACTAGATATCTGTGCCTAACTGTAATGCATAGAGTAAGATAGTGACAGAGCTAATCAATAAATACACTTTCTTGTATTGCAGGGATGCATTACTTTAAGGAGCATCCGTCGAGTGGCTTCACGGATTACGAGCATTATTTCATGTGCTTGCAGTGCGGTGAAGAAGGTCAGTATTGATTCCAGCTAAATACTTTCAGCTGCAATACAATCAAATATCAGTATAATATCATATTATTAAATATATTCGTTAAACGCCTCATGAAAAATTTATTAAAAAAAACGGATTTCAATTAATGGGAAGAAGCAATTACTTTATATAAAATCGATCACCGAAACTAATCGTTTGCTGTCATATGTTTATAGTGTTCATGTTTTGCCGACCTTTGACGCCACTAAAATATTTCCTACACATTGACATAGACATAGAACTCGAACCTCCGAGAAACATTCACCAAATTGTACTCTTTTCCAACTAGCAAAAATCAAGTTTTCTTTTGGTGAAATCAAAACTGACAATTTCATGATCGCTTATATACTGGTTTGATTGAAGAAGGAAGCGGGTTTGCTTCGAAGGCTAATTTGGGAAAGGCAGCAGTTGTTGCTATTTTAAATCAAGCGATTTTATTCATGTCGATCATTCTGCATTGACAATGTAACATCTAACTGCTTTGAAATTCTCACTTTTAAGGTCCAAAGTATATATGGGTATTTATACCTTTAAAAAAAGTAACTGTATCGCGGTGCCATACCGGTAAAAGGGCTGTGGTGGCTTTCCGGGTCATGCAACAATGATCCATTTTTTCTGACTCAGTTTCAACGTGAATTGAAATACCAACTGATCCGAGTCACTCCTGTTTTATTAAATCTGGTACCGCGGTTTATAGTTTCTCATCTTTCGCTAAGCATAAGTTCCGCTGACGCTCACTGAGCAAGAAATCCGCTGATACGCGTTCGCCGAACTGCCACGAGGTGTCAAATTTTGATGACGTCATAGCACACAAAAAAAAACCATACAGATCACAGAAATATTTGGAATAAATAAAAGTAAAATCTTCTAGCGAGAATTTCAATCTTTAAACACTTTTACAGTAGTCTGACCATTAAATCACCGAGATCTGATCACGGAACCACGTCAAGCAATTTTTATTTTGATGACGTCATCACACAAAACTTTAAGAGAAAGGCGTTTACGATTATCAAACAATTATTATAGGAGAGCGATGCTCAAATATATGGACACGAAGAAGAAACAAAATGGTACGATAATACAATTTGTCACAGTAGACTACCGGCACTGTAGTTTTCACGGCGAACGCGGAACCGCCACAAGGTGCGTTCTACATTGTGTTCAATTTCACAATATCGTATCCAATATATGTAATTAATCTTAAGAGAATCGAAAATTAACGCAATAATCGTGATGAATTTGAACAAAGCCGGAACAATATCTTTTCATAAATCTTGTTAAGAGAAAGGTCATCTTTAGGACACCAAATTGAAATTACTATAACCTTCAACAATAATAATTTAACAATTGTTTGTCTTTTCATTAGCAAAAAACACAAGTTGTTGGGACCATGTCTGAAGTGTGTATCAGTTTGACTCATACGGTTAATCGTCGATTAGGCAGCCGGCCATACTTCTACTTTCGTTAAAAAATTTCAGGCGACAGCAATAGCACGGCCGAGGTAGATACCGGATTCTGCATCACCTTACGTGCGTATCTTCCGGTGAAACTCGATTTTCTCCAAATTGCTGTCGTTGGGCTGGTTTTGCGTACGTTTCGCCACCACTTGACATGCCACGCTTGTCCAATCTATTTTTATTGACTTAATCGGTGGTCGGTTGCACTAATATGCATGCGACAACGAGTCCACAAGCCTCATATGTGGGAGTTTCTAGCGTTTTAGGTTAAGCAGACAAATACCATGATGTGAATGATATTTTAGAAAACATCAAGCAATATCATTGCATTATGTCGCCAATGGGAGTTATTTCGGATGCATTCTAACCACGGGTAAAAAGCGACATTTCTTAAATAAAATGCGAGCAAATAAATATATCATTCGGTAAATTTAAAACGGATTTAAAATGGTGACGCTACCTTGAAATTAAGTCCTCCATAGGAAGTTAGGCACTTTGAAGGTAGTGATTTGTGTGCAAGTATTTTAGGATTATTTGAGTCCATATCCATGAGCATCTCTCCTTGTTCTATCTTGACTTATCTTTGCCTGAATGGAAAAGAATGATCTTATTGACATACAGAGAATCTCATAACGTCTGCAATTTGATATTGCATAGGCTGAACATGCAGTGGAAACGTGCGTAGTGCATTGCATGTTAAGCAGCATGTGAGAAAAATGTGAAGAAGTACTTCCTTTTGCCTACATTCCCGATTTAATATTGCTTTATCTGAGCATATTTCATCATTTCGCTGAAGAAAGTCTAGCGAGTAACAATGATCTTCTTAAGCTGTGTCTCCATTTTGATAGTTTGCTTGTTGTTCAATCCGACAGTTGGAAAACCAGGATACCGTCGTGAAAACGAAAATTGCGCGTTGCCCGTTTTTGATGAAGTCAATTATAATATGGTGAGCATTCATAAAAATTATTGAATTGAGTTGAACGAAAATTACTTGACGACTGAAAGGGTTTGATTGCGCCACCAGCTGTATCATTCAATTTTCCAGCTTCTTTTGTAAAAATCTTGTATCACTATATTCCAGCTTCCTGATTCTTGGTATCACATACTGAACACCAATGATCCACTTGAACGCGGTGTGCCGTGTTATGCATTCAAGTATTTCAAAGAAACTGTCGACGGAATTTTTGGAGAATTTCAGGATATTTCATCAGCGGAAAAGTAAATAATTTTATATACATAAATAATTTATTGTAAAAAGGTTACTAATCTGTTTTGGTATGGACTGCCCAATAGGTCTTCGGAATTATGAAAGTTAAATAAGTATGTTAACCGGCGGCGTTAACAACTGACAATAGCGAATAGATTCGGACGATAGAGATAGGTGAAATGGCTTGACTTTAAGATCAAAATGAAACATACCGACGTATTATTGCTTTTAACGTTTTTGCCCGGTTAGTATTGAGTTTTTTACGGATTGAGTTATGTTTGCACCCTAATCAGGACTATAAATCTATCATTTTTCTCAGAAGAAATATGTCCGATATTTTCTGAGTTTAAGATTTATAAAAGTTGTAACATCCGACAAACTGGTGTAACAAATAATAGTAGAACGAATTCTGCAGACGCAGGGAATTGCTCTACCGGATATCCGATGAACATATAACGGGAGCGGTATACGTTATAATTTTTATAAATAAATGTTTCACGACTGAAATAAACGAAGTTACAAATGAAATTTTCAGTTTTCTGAGTAAGGGCTTACGTTTAACATGATTTTTTTGTACGCAGCGGTACAATGTCACTCAACGAAGTCATACCATTCCGTTGGTATCAAAATGGAACTTCAATCACAAGATACGACACACGTTTTGGCACGTAAAATGTTCTACTTATTAAATTTATATTTGAAGTATTTTAAACTTTTATAACAAATGATTTTATTTTTTATAGAATCATTGTGGTTAAATGGGGCAAAACATAACGGAGCAGATGAACATGTTTTGGAAGGTAAAATGTTTTAATGATACCTTTCATTTTATGATAACTTTTATTATCACTATAATTCACATTGCTAAAAATTATTCTAGATAAAAAATTTATCAAATAAGATGTACTTCAAAAACAACTATGTAGCAAATATATATAATAAGCCAATCATAACAAAAATTCAAAATGTAACTCAAAATGAATATAACAATGATAAATTTTTTTAATCTTTTTTCAAGTGCCATTTTTTTGGATTAGCCGGGAGATACAGACATTGCTCAGTCCGTAAATGCCTAATTTGCCCTGCCTTTGGTGATAAATATTATTTTAAAACAAGATGTTGGACTCTTAATGAAGAAACGTATCAATAAATATACCTACTTTTTTGTTATGCAGAGATTCGATACGCTTATGAGCATCGGATGAGTTGCTTCACAGATTATGAGCATTATTTCATGTGCTTGCAGTGTGGTGAAGAAGGTCAGTATTGAATTTAGCTGAACACTTTCAGCTGCAATTCAATCAAATGTTCGTATATTATCATGTTATTAAATAGGTTCTTTAAGCGTCGCGTGGAAGATTTATTTAAAAACGTCGGATTTTCATTATTGGGAAGATATTTCGATTCGCAATTACCTTTTATAAAATCAATCACCGAACCTGATTGTTCGTTGTCATCTGTTGATAGAGTGCATGTTTTGCCGACCTTTGACACCACGAAAACATTTCCTATAAACATTGACACAGATGTTTATAGACCTATAATTCGAAACATTCATCAAATTGTACTCTTTTCAAAATAGTAAGGTGAAAATCACGTTTCCCATTGATGAAATCAAAACTGACAACTTCATGATCGATTTGATTGAAGAAGTGAGCAGCTTTGCCATTTTAAATCGATCGATTTTATTATTTTCGATTATTCTACATGGACAATTATAAATGCTTTCCAATTCTCTCTTTTTAGGTCCAAAGCATGCATGGGTTTACAGTCATAATCCACATCCCGCTGCAGAAGACATTCTACGAGTTCACAACAAGCTTGTTACTATCGGTGGTGGCTGGAGCGCATTTCCCCTGTACTTATCTGGTTGTCATAAATTCAGCATGCCAGAAACAATCGCTTACTAAACTGCTGATGTCTAAATATTTGTTAACCAATTGTATTTACTTGTATTTACAAAATAACTGGATATTATATCTAATATATATATGTAATTTGATGTTATACAATGTTGAGGATATTGAAAAAGTAGATTACCAGACTTTTGCTGTAGCTCAGGGACATCAGCCGATTGCGTAACCCAGGCGATTAGATTCTGCATCATCGCACTTTACATACGGATGAATATTCTGTCGTATTTTAACAATAAATTGTGGAAATATCGTTGAAAATAGGGTCAGTTTATCCGAAGTTAGTCACTCTGTGTCTATTAATTTGAGCCTCTCTGTCTTGTTTTGTCCCAAACTATTATTTTTTTGAATTGATAAATGGACAAATATTGATTTTCAGAAAAGCAATAAGCTACATCTATCAATAAAAGCGGCATGTTTATGCATACTTATGGCGAAGCCAGAAATAATGCACTTTTTACAATATGTAGATTTTTAATAAATATACTGGAAATAAACACTTCATTTCATAATACCTCCATATGTGAGTAATCGTGATTATTACTCGTTCAATTGCACCAATATTATTTATGTGTGAAATTATTCTACTTACGTTTATTATGGACACTTGAAGACACCTGAAAGTTACCTGAAGTGCTTTCAGTTCTATCGTCAGAATGAAACATTTCTACGAAACAAAACTTTCATTGAATTAAGCACCATTGACGTACATGTAGATTACGATACTATCTTATGAAAAAAAACTAATTTCTGAGGTTCTACGTGGAATGAAAAACTGCTTTTGATTGTCAAGTACCCCATTCTGTACAACAATAATGTTCTGTGTGATTGTCTCCATAAGTGACGTCAGCGTTTCTATTTCAGAAATGAAGATATAGCTTCAATTTGATTTTTAAAAGCAATTTAGAAGTTTTTTGTTTTTGTTTTTCTGTACAGTTAGTGATTACTATTCGCCGATATCGACATTCCACAATTTACAAACAACTGAAGATCAGATTACTAACTTTGACTAAAAATGTCGGAAATATCAGTGGATCCTGGATGTTGCGACACATATTGTACAAGTTTTCAGATATGGTATCTTCGTGTTATGCGACCAGGGGATACAGTGCAATTTAATCAGAGCCCTAAGATTTTGACATTTGGAATAGCGCAGGCCGGGTGCGGTAGGTAGTTCTAATCTATTATTAATAACTATTTTTATGTCCATATTAACAAAATATTTCTGTTTGAAATCATAATGGCCTCTTCCAGTGGCGCAATTAGGTTGGCATAAGGACCGCGGGTTTGATATTTAGAGCATATTGTCACAGAGTCAGTGCATTCCTAGTGACTTCAGGGCGAAAACCAAATTCAATCTTCAGAACTGTTGGCTTGCATTCGATTTGTCACGCGTTTTTGAACCCTTCCTTTAACAACAATTATCCTCTCAGTGCCTCCCACCTGTTAAAATACGGCATGAAATATTCTATCCATATACTGTAGTTAGTCTCGCTAATTAAACTAGATGTGCAAATGCCATAGGCGATTTGGTTTGAATGATTTTTTAGGGGTGATGTTGATTATACTTGATTTACTTGCAATCTTCTGCCAATTTAAAGAATTGACTTCTCCATCGCCATCTTTCCTTGGTGCACCCGGTGTTCCTGTTTGGATTTCACTTCTGGTGAGTATATATTATGCTTTGTACAGCACTATGGATTTCATAAAAAAAAAATACTGAGCGCAAGAACACAAGCTCGCTTATATCGTTATCAAAGTTTTAGCCAATACCCCAAGTGTGGAAACAACTTAAACTTAGAGAATTATTTTGTGGGTATCGACAATAGTAAATTGACATTAAATTGGTATTTTCTTTTGTACTTTTGTTTCAGATATTGCTAAGCGGTTTCGGCGTTATTATTGCTTACAAACGAAAAGACAGATTTGTGGTTTGTATTTGGAAATAAGTTAATTTCTGATAATTCATTCCCCCGGCACTTTTAATTTAGTACGTCTTTTTAAACTTTTTAGGCTGCTATATCATTTGGATGTTCAGCGCTTGCTGTTTTAATGGCGATATCGCTGATGGCCGTAATCACAATGTCTATCGCACAAGAGGTAATACTTTTTATATGCAATTGTTGGATCCGAGTACCGTGTCCATCCATGCACTTCATGTTGCTCCATTCAAGTAATAAATAATATCTGGATATTGCTGTATAATAAGACGGAATGATTAAAAACCGTGTCACTTTTTGGCTTCGAACATAGGAAATCAAATGTCTTGAATATTTGAACAAAACTTCAGTCAAAATGACAAATGAAAACCATTTGGTAATTTCTAAAAGATTCGCACATTTTAGGTTGATTATTATGATGAAAAGAACAAATCTATGGGAATAGTTATTGGAACTATCATGAGCATTTTTGTTCTCGCTGAAGTTGTGATAACGTCATCAACTGCGTTGCTTGGATACCTAGCCTTGACCTCACATGACGATCGCTGGTTCACGGATAGGGTATTTTCAGATGTTTATATTAATATCATCCATTCAATATTTTTATATATGCAAAATCGATACAGAGAGTGAATGTAATGTTATATATTTGATAGGCAAAATAGAATATCCTGACCATCGTATTTATTCTTTCCATGCATCATGTTAACTGTACATGAATCAAACCCGACAGTTTATACCTGTTAGGTATGTTGTTTTTCGAAGTTTTGATCTGAAAAGTTTATAAAATATACTATACATACAAAAATATGACGAATTACTACAATACCGTTGTGCAATAATTTGAATTCTTATATTAAGGGCACTCAACATTTCCAAGATGAGCTCGTTACAGGTTCTTCCCTGTCAGCTAACATGACGATACCTGGAGGACAACCCGCATTCATGTTTTACGCCCCTTCAAACGAAGCCATCAAGTATTCCAACGCTTTTCAAGATGTCTTGTGTAACGTGCAGGCGACATCAGGTTTGTTGAAAGCTGGTGACAACTACAGCAACATGAGTTAGTCAATCGTCCCACGCTTTTCTGCAGGTTGTAAGTACGAAAATATTACAAAAGGTCAATAAATGTCCATTATTTTATAAAAAAAAACGCCAAATTAAGTTATGTTTCGATAAAGACATCATGAATTTTATTTATATTAAATAAATATATTTATCTGAATATGATATCAAAACGCCTTCCCTTGTTTTATCCTACAGCTGAACGAGCAACGTCTCCTATTGTACGGAGTTGACGAGATGTGCAAGATGATCAAATGGTGGCGGAATGTTTTGTTGCTAAATATAAATGTAGAATTATTCATCCAGTTACTCTGGTATATTCTATATATCTATATCAGGGGTGCACAACCTTTTTGTTATTGCGGCCTCATTGCATTTATTTTTATACAATACGGCCGCCAGGAGGTTAATAGCGCGCCGAAGGCGCCCGAATTTTTTGGCTTCATGACGTCATAACCGCGTTTTTGACCCGTGCGAGGTGCACTCTGCCCAATTATGAAGTATGTAGGACTACTTGGAAGTATAATATTTGCATTTTGAAAGGATTTTTTTTTTCGGTGGACCTATTCTAGAGCAGATATATTCTGCAAGTTGCATAATGGTTGCACAATTTTGAAAAAAATCGAAAGTCTGGGAGGGGCGGTTGCCCCCATTTTCTTGTCCCCAAAAGTATAATAAAATGTCAAATATTTTTATGAATTTATTCTATAAAAGTTTGCAAAGAATTGTAGCAATTTAATGACTCCTTTGGTCTTGCATGTGGGCAGATAAACTTGCAAAGTCAGGTAACTGGCAGCAAATACACCATCTAGATTGTGACGCATCGTGTCGTCTGACTTTTTTGCAGTGCTTCTGTTTTGCTCCAATATACGCCAGCATAGCCGCCAAATCCTATATTTTGAACTTTTTTTTTATAGGATTTTGTATGTGGACGGCCGCATTTTTTTTTCGCGACGGCCGCAGGTTGTGCACCGTTGATCTATATCAGGGGTTCCCAAACCGCGGCCCGCGGGCCAATTACGGCCCGCGAGACGATTTCAAATGGCCCGCCGAACATTAGTGAAACTATAACCGTGAATAAATACTAACGCGTTTAACAATTTAAATGTGTTCATCCTTTTATGTCGTAGATGCCGCCAATTGTTACGTCATTATCACAATTTAAGCACGTGTATATCGTAACAATTCAATTATACCGGTATCTTAACTTACGTACCGGTATTAGGATTGCGTACGGCAGTCTTTTAGGTATCACGTATCAGACCTATATTAAGGAAGCTTGAAGATGTCACAAAAACGAAAACTAGACACTGAAAACAGGCGTTTTTCGGATAAACGGCAGCGTTTTTATTTCTTTATTGAAAAGAATCAAACTTCAGCGATTTGTTTTCTTTGCCAACAAACTATTCTTGTTCTATTCCTGTTAAACTACGGTCCAGACTGACAGATAATCACTTAGACTTAGAGTGCGGTATTGCAAATACAATGTAACGAATTGGAGCCACGTTTTGAACATCAGTTTTCGAGCAAACCCTAATTACACGTATCTACAAAAATGCAAGTAAATTATGTTGGTTATCCGTTTTTTTTTAATATTCATATACATTGAGACGTTTTTTTGTTTAACAAAAAAAACATGAGTCGCTATCTGGGGTCATCTCTTATCTTTAGGGTCAATCTCAACCTCAGTGTCAGTGGATAATATTGGTAGTACAACTGCAAAAACCATACTCACCAGAAATAACAGTGTTTTATAAACTTCGACTACAAATTTAATTAGATAACAAACCTTGGGTGTCGCTGCCTGATAATCAGTTCCCAGCGATTTCCCTTCCCAGTAAAATGTGTGTCAATTTTACTTTTTTCATAATTTCGTTTGCTATTTTTACTGGATGGAAAAAATACACTTGACCATGATATGAGTAGACATTTATACAAAGCCGTACTCCAGATGAGCAAGTAACTTCATTAGTCGCTATCAGTTACATTCACTTTTTGAAAGTCGTGCTTGTTATTCCTCGGGTATTCTATCACCTAACTATCATACTTATGAATTTTATTACATAACAAACTGCAATACTGGGTGTATCTAAAATCAATCTTGCAGCCTATTTTGGTGCCTATTTTTCAAAATTTTCTCAGGGCGCTTAAGCGCGCCCTGAACCCCAGCCTTTACGTCGGGCTTTTTTGGTCATCTCGCTTTACTGGCCCGCGAGTATCCTCGTCTTGAAATTTTGGCCCGCGGCCAAATAAGTTTGGGAACCCCTGATCTATATGAACAAACAATTTCCGATGCAACAGAAGTTATCTAATCACGGTTCGCATGATCCTAAAGCGTTAATCAAATAATCGTCAATTTATTACCATAATCTATCGACTAATCGGCGTCAATCATATATTTGGTTTTTGAATAAATATTCATTAGAATACTGTGTATCCAAATTTCTTTGCTATACTGTATGTATGGTATTGTAAAATGCTTCTTCTCACTGAACTACTTTTTGTCAAAATAAGAATTTTTGAGGAGATTTTTCGATGACAAGCTTATATTGAGACTGAGTAGAATTTTAGAAGATTGGGGTTCTCGCTTATTTACCTCTTTCACCAATAATGTAGATAAATTATGATTTATATCTCTCCTTGTATCCAACACCAACTTTGTTGAACTCAAATCCACATGCACGCAATCCAACTTATTATATGTAATCGATGTAACGTTCACGCAGCGACCATCATCGAGGAAAGGGGTGTAAAAATTAAATAGCAAATACAGAACAGACGGTTCGACAATTCATTCCACTGGTAGTCAATTTCTTTTGCAAGGTAGTCATCAGCGTGAATCAGTTTTATAGTAAATCCCAATACAATTGTTTAATCCAATAATTTCCTAAGGTAATATGTTTGTCTTACTCGTGACTGACATACGAAAAGGCAATCTATGCGATGCTAAGGAGTGCAGAACACATAACATTTAAAATAGGATTTACAATATTTGGGGAAGTCGAGAGAACGGGAGACGAAAGTCGATAATAGAGATTACGGTATTCCGTATGGAGAACCACGGACTTTCGTTATATATTAAGGTGCATGGACTTGATGATGGAGGAAGCATTATAGGCCAGGGTGGTCCAAACCCAGGCCCGCGGGCCACATGTGGCCAGACGCTTCATTATCTGTGGCCCGCGTCACATTCGGAGAGTAATCAAAAAATCGCATTTTGTGTTGTTTCGACATAAAAATTAATCAGAAAAATCTTATGACATATTGTCATCACTAATGTCACTGAATTAAATAGTGTTTTGACTAGCTGAGGCAACCAGCGGAATTGAAATTTGAATGATGTGCTTGGCAGTTTGAATTGTTATTTGACTATCTAACTTTTTGGTCGGGAATATATGCTAACAATATAGGAATCAGGGAAAAATAAAAATTGATTGCGGATTTTATTAGCCTAGAATGGCTATGCCTGATAACTATGTTTGCACAATAAAAGTGTTTGTTTTGTATTGCACTGTTTCCCCATTCTTGGCACTATTGTGGCCCGCTAACAATGCAAAAATAATTTTGTGGCCCGCGGAGCCGACAACTTTGGACCACCCTGATGTAGGCTATTTTACTTTTTTTACAAGTGCCAGTTATTACTCACATCTAGGGCTGGGAATTTTAGGGAAAACACTTTAACCGTTAACCGGGTAAAATAACCGCAGCGTGACGTTTCACATAATAATTTATAATTTAAGATTGTTACGTCACAACGGTTACAAAGCAATTTCATGTGACCTCATCCCGGTATCGCTCAAAATTATTCACGAATGGAGATAGTTTCGTGATCGCTCTGCTGCAAGAGATATGCAGCGTTGGTAGGACGGACATAAGGAAGTATTTGAGTAAAACCCGATTCCGTTATCAAATCTCATTTATGTGACAAATTCTCAGTGTTTGATTTGCAAATTCTACTTTGAGATATATAAAAAAAACAGCATCAACTACGCACTTGTTGGTTGACATTGAATATATGATAATGTGGTTCAACAGCAGCAATCTTGGTACTTCAACAGGAGATAAATTTGCGATGACATAATTTATGAAAGAATTGTACATTATTAAGATGATTTGTACCTGAGATCGTGAGATGTCAGTTAACGGTTGAAATAAATCGTAACCGTTAACCCGTAAATATATGTTAACCATCTAAAATCGTTTACGGAAACCATTCCCAGCCCTACTAGTTGCTACTCACATCCTGACATTTGACCCATCACAGCATCTTTCGGCAACATCAAAACATGATGCTGTTAGAGTGTTAGTGCTATATTACATACCGTACCGCCAGCGGTAGATAGATAGATTTTATGTTGGTTCAATCGCAAAATTTAAATAAACATAATACGGTAGTCTACAGAATAGATAGAAGAATGTATGATTTGACAGTGAAGCCATTTTAAAGCGGAACAGTAGAGGAAAATTTGAACTCACAGACCTATCTGATTATTTACGCTATCAACTTCTGGACTAGTTTGGCTCATCACACAGATCACATTTACTGCATTTACCTTATTAGGTAAACAGGTTGTGTAAACAAATGCAGTAGGTAATAGCAGAATAGTGAATTTACAAATGACAAATGTAGCCTATTTGAATCAATGTTTAATTCTGTACTTGTTTATATTTAATTCTGTAATTGAAGTTATATTTCTAAACAAAATAAGTGCCACAATTTTCATATCTGTTCACTTGGAAAACAACATGACAATGAGAACTGGAATGGAATACACTAAAATTACAAAAAATGCTAAAGATTGTCACAAAATAATTTAAAGTTATTGGAAGTCCACTCCATTGACAACAAAACAATGAACTTTTTAAGTAACAGCTCACTAGTGTCATCGAATGGAATACATGATGTCAAAAACTTGTTGCGATCTGTGGAATGGTCTACAAGTGTCCAGAAATTTGACCGAAACTCTTCTTATCCCATGGTAGGCTATGTATGACATTTTTCTCGTGATAATATGATTCTCTTGAATAAATAGTTCCAATAGCTGAATAGGGCAAAGTTCTTCAATTTCAAGACATTGGGTTCAATAAAACAAACAACCTTTTTATCCCTGAAACAAGGACGTCTGGCACGACGGCAGATGTGTCAGATTGGCCATGCTTGTCTTGATAATAATCTAAATTGATCATAACCAAACTGCGTTTTCGCAGAAAACTGATGCTACGGTAAAAATTTTTTTTTTTTTGGTAAATTGGATTATTTATTTACGAGGAATCCACTGATCACGTTTTTAGATTGCGCTTTCTTTTAGTTTATTGCGCGAAGCTGTTTTGCCAAAATGGAGGCCCAGACGGTCTCTCAAATGAGGGATTTCCCCTTCTGTTATAATTGATGTCTGTCAATGTAGGGCCTATTCTTGAAATTGGAGAACTGTAACGTACTGAGTTCATTTATGATTTATCTATGTCTTCAATTTGATCAGATAATGCCTTATTTGTGTCCCATTGTCAGAACAACTCCACCACTAGTTTAGAACAATTGCGCCACTAGTAGGAATCATTGGTACATCGTATACAAAATGGACGTATTAGATTATTCTCATTCTTTTGCAGAAGTGTTTTTGGTACCATTTCTTGCTTTTTGAAATCGAGCTGTTCTAAATTAAACAAGACTTAAATTTTCATAGCAATTCTTTTGACTACATATCCCAGGTGTTACATTACTGGGTAATAAAAATTAACACATCGATTTTACTAAAAAATCAACCCTGATTGGGATTCTGGGTTCAAATAGTTTAATAATGGCATTAGACAGTCTCTAAAATCCTAATTGGTTATGGCAGTGATATTTATTCACCCTAGAATCATTTCCAGTATAGTCATTTCGTCATCTCTGTACTGTTTATAATTGTGCACTGGCATCTGTCTTATTCTGCTTCTATCTCTTGATAACCTTTTCATCTGCATTTCTATCAATATTTAGCTTTCACATCAGGACACTCTTCATATTGCCTCAGGATGTTAGCCCAATCTTGGGATTTTAAAAACAAGTCGAATAATCAAATTCATAGAAAACTGATCGTTATGTGTAAAGAATATTTCAAATTCCTTAATTTAGGAATAGTTGCGTTTCGGAAACAACAGTTTCTCAAAAAATAATACATTATTTTCTGGTAACTGTAGACAATATAGAGATCCAATTGGATACCTGTTTAAGTCATCTTTCCTACAAACTTGACTGAGTATACATCAACGTTCATGTGTTCATTTTGAATATGGCGCAAACTAGAATATCGATTCAATATTTCATATTTTGGAATGTATTCAGAATAGTAAATTATTTGGTTTCGCTTCTTTGTCTTGTCTTATAATTTATTCAAATTTCATTTCTTTCTTTTAAGATTGTCAAGCCCACTGCTGAAACTGCTGCCACTTATAATGTTTCAGAGGATCCAATATTGTTGCATCATTTTTGGGTGACACAAAGGTATTTTTTATTTATTAAATAATTCTATATTTGGTAAAATATATTAAAATTATGAAATAGGCTACTACAAACACCAAAATGTTTTTAATTAATCTGATTAAGAAAGGAACAATTTTATAAAGTTGCTGTTGATTGTTGAAATATTTTTTATACCAAGCATTTATTTATTCGTGTATTTTGTCGTAACCAAGGTGTGCACAAGCAGCCACTGATATGTAACGATATGTAAGTAGCTATTGTTTTCAGGATTAGAATAAATCCGCTTCGGTATTACCCACCATATTTATTACACACACTCTTGGTAAGGTGGTAGGCAAAAGTGTAGCCAACCCAAAATTTTGAGGCCATTTTTTATTTTTAATATGACTCCTACTCGTGCTTTTTGCTTTGAACAAGGCTAGATAAAAGCAGCCACTGATATCATAAAGAATCCCTCTACTTCGCTGTCGAAGTTATCCAAGGTATACAAACATGCTTTTTCATGATTGGTTGATTGGTTCATTTCGCGAAAGGAATATTGATAGCAAGTCAAGAATAGAGTAAAATAATGTTGGAAAAGCTGTAGGAATTTATATCTTCTTGCCAATGCTGCAAAATTGCATTTGAAAAAAAATGTAAAATATTTTTTTTTGGTGGGGGGGGGGGGGAGGGCATTGCCCCTTAGGCCCCTTGCCTATGGTGTTGTGCATGAAATTCGTTAGATATGTGGAACTTGCGATGCTAACATTGGCATCAGTTAAGTTTAACACTCTAATTAACCACTAGGTCATCGCGTCTGTGAATTTTTTTTCATAGCTGATTCATTTCTCATTACCTCAGATCATCTATTTGCTCAGTTATAGGAAAGTTTTGGTTATTAGACCTGTTATGCCAAAATAGTTATAACAACCTGTTATCCCCTACATTGAATCAGATTTTTAATTCAGTTGTATTTTGTTATTATAACCTGCCTAGTATAATGAAAATGAATCATTACCAATGTGATGCAAAGCAGACTAGTATGATATTCTCCTATCTTCATCATTAATCAAATTATGTGATTTAAACGTTTATGAGTAATTATTTCAATAAAGGTTAACAGTTCAAAGCTTAGAAGAAGAAGGTGCTTATGTTGTTGGCCCACAACTTGAAATTTCATCAGAATACAACGGAACTTTCCAATACAGAAACGATCAGAAAGGCAATCAAGATGTTCATGTAAATTAGTTAATTATTCTTGGTATAATTTTTCAATGATCTGGGTGTTTCGTAATCACTTATTATTTCTAATATATCGAATATCAGCCTTCAAATTCAAATATATTAGATAGTTACAGAATTGTATAATCATAAATTTTTTGCTACCGGTATAAATCACTATTTTTGATTTGGAAATAAAAATTGATTTAATATTACAGCTATTTGATGAATATTGTTCCAGTTTAGTCGTTATTCATCTGCAATATTGGGAAATATAATTTTGGTTTGCTTTAGATAAATATCAATATTTTTAATTTGGAATCCGAATTCATATGAAAAAGCGGTTTGAGTTTTTCGATTTTAAAGTTTTGATGGTATCCATATGTATGACCCAATTTTATAGACATTGACAATTAATAAGATTACATTTTAAAACGTATTTGTACTTACTATTTTGATATAAAATTCTGAACAGAGGGGATATCAATGTTATCACTATCAGCACTTTGTACTTTATTAAGTAAGGAGGGAAATTCGTAACCTGTTGAGTGTGGGTCATGTACTTTCGCAAAAATTCCAAATATATATGACCTAAGCAATGAATAGATAAATTAATATGATCAATATAGTTGAAATTTTCCTTCTATTCATTTCATAAAGTTGTAAATAGATATTTGTGTCATAGGAAATTTTTGCCATTACTATGCTCTATGTTACACATTTCTTTGTTACCCTGAAATATTTTACATTGAATTTATGATACAAAATTTATTTAGTAAAATTTATGGGTTTAACATATTAGGTTCTTAGTACTCACTAAGTATAGTCAAAACTGATCATTCTATTATTCTAAAAAAATTCTAAAATACGAGTTTGAATTCAAAATATTTTAGATAGGGATTTGTTCAAGTACACATGAAACAATTAATCAATTCGTTTTGAACATATTCGGTATCCCTCTACTGCAGCTCTTTGTAATTAATTTTTCTTTGTGATTAAGTTTCACTTTAATCTGAATAACAAGAACATCTATTTGTATTATAATGCCAATGTTTTAGCAAATAAAACATATTCAACAACTATTTATTAAATAATACATGAAAAATAATTACAAAGTTATGCTTTAAATAAGACATTTATCAGTGCTTTTATTTTGTGGATATGCATAACTTCTACTTTGCCCCATAGTAAACATAACCCAAGCATCAATTGCGTACAATTCTTTTTCCAGATGTTCCATTCCGTCAAAGAGATTTCTATGTCAATGCCAGAGAGAGTGTTTCCTCAAGAAAGATTAGTTGTTTACCCAGTGACCACTCAAGAAATTGCGTCATCATCTGGGGAAAAAACAAAATCTTTGGTCTTGCAGCCTACTGATCAACTCATTGTTATTGAAAAGAAGGAAGTTTATACTGTGACACCGTCTAGGGTTAGTATTTTAGCAATGTGTTTTTTTAACTCATGATAAGTTATTATTTCTTATTGCTAAAAGTGTCTATTTGTAAAAATTTGTTTTACTGTATTTGATTTGAGTGGTGTACAATGACATATTAGCTATAGTTGAAATTCCATGCTCTCAGATTATGCAGGTTATGATGAATTAGGTGAGCTTCGTGCCGGACTGGAAAGGTCCTGGTTCTTATGAAAACATGCAGCCCTCTGCATATCACTGTCTGCTTGTTATGAGTTGAGGTGTAAAACCTTCCTAAATCGGAAATTCTTCGCAGCATTATTATCATTATTTCAGATTGAAATTTCCAATATTTTGATAACCCATTCTTTTGGTTTTCTATTTATATTGAAAATGAGTCAACCAAATTAGTAGCCTACATACCTCACCTCAGCCTCAGGTATTGACAATGTAATGATTCAGTGTAATTTCTAAATAAGAACTGCTATAAATGTGCTGCAATCAATCAGCTACTGTTTACATTGGTGAGATTTTCATAATGAAAGTCAGTGCGTGTTCTATTTAGCATTGACATGGCGATATTTGAAAATTTTGCATTCAGTTATGCAATCAATTCTTTCATAAATAGCCTAAATTGTCATTCTTCTGCAAAGCTTTGAAAATATATTTTCTCATTCTAATTTTGCAATAGATAGTTTCGTTTTTCACTGTCAAGAATCTGGAATAATTGCAAATTTTATATGAATTGGCATAAAACCGACAATCAATTATAGTCATGTGATGAATTTCCTGCTTGGTTGAGATTCAACCATCAGATCAGGTTAAAGGTCATTTGTTAAAATTGGGTCAATTTTGAAGTTAATAGTGCAGAAACTAATGATAGTCTTTTTTACAGTTTGCCGCTTTCAGTGGAAAACCAAAGTACAAGTTTGTTGCTGTACCTTGTGTAGCATTTATGATTGAAATGACAAAAGAAGTCGTAAAGTATGTTTTTTTTTATGTTAAAAGTTTTTATTTGGAGTATAAGGATACACCTTTTTTATCAGTTTCTAATCACACAATTATTTTTTATGGTTTACTCAATGCCAGCTTTGGGAAACACTCGAAGTTAGGCCATGTTGCAGTAGCAAAAACATATGAATTGTTTTGAAAAACTGTTTGGGATAAAATTGTTAATTTTATCAGCTCCAGAAATTGTTGGAGGAGTCTGTCAGAATGCAATTCTATATATGGTCAATATAATTCCCTTGAGATTGTTGCATTATTCTAAATTTTGCTAGATTTTAGAAAATTGCACTTATTGATTCATGCCCATTTATCGATTTTTGCAGTTGCAGAAATATTCCAAAAATTTTAAGGAAAACTCATTTATCATAATAGGATCATAATAATACAAGTACTTGTTTTGGTTTTAATATGGATTTTACAGTAATTTAAGGATTAACAGGAAATCAAATGATCTACTATCATTAATTGAATCATGATATAACTGAGAAATTTACATGAACATATTATTATATTCATTGAGATCGATTGAGTTATTACAGGAATAAACATTTGAATGTCAATAATTGAATATTATTAAGCAAAGCATCAAGCATTTTATGCATTGAATATAATTGACATGGATTTCAATTTTGTCTGATAGTTTCATTGTATATGCATATGATAGGAAGGAAGTACATATACGAGTTATTCCAAATTATCGCATTATTGCATGAATTTGTTTCTTAACAATGGTATGATGGAATGTTTTTGAGAAAAATGCCTGTGTGTGTACAATACAATATGCTATAATATATAAGGGGTTGGTATGATACAGTAATTCATCCTCACCATGGAATCATCCATTTAGAATTACCGGTAATCATCATAAAGCTTCCCGTGTCTTTACAATTTCAATTTTTCATTATAATTCTTTGGTCTAGCACTAATATATTACAGTATACCTTAGGATCAATCGGCCTCTTGGAAAGATATCCCAGTTGTATTTTTGATTCAAATTGCTGAATTGTTGTTGTGAAAAATTTGCTTTTTTCTGCAATTAATGGATCAATCCAAAGGGCGCTACTACTTTATAATATTTTCAGATTTTTTCCCACAGGAACCAATATTCACCCTGAAAGTTTGGTATTTACTTTGTTTCACAGGCTTCAAACGACATATGGAACAATTCTTTTAACATTTGGCTGGAATTTTTTCGCATCCCGGTGACCAAAATAGTTACTTGTACTTGGTGTCCAACTGTCCATATATTCAAGCGTTTCTGTCTTGTTTATCTATTCTTAATTAAACACTGCATTCACCACTTCTATAACACAAAATACGATATACGGTTTGGCGGCAAAGACGTGAAATGGGCCACATAGGTTTTTAATCTTAGAGTTTTAAATTCAGCACCGAAGATGAGCAGACAACAGATTTTAGATAAATGATGTCAGTTGCTGCTGAGTTGGTCAGTTCGATGATCTGTAATTACTGTACTATGAACCTTTGGATATTCAATTCAAATTTTACCGAAACTTTTGAAATCAAAGCGAAAACATACAGAGTTCAAACAATACCTCATTTCCTGTCAATATTCACCTACTCAGCTATTCACACATGTGTCACCTCACTGAATAGACTCAACGTTCAAATAACTTCATTTAATGTAAATTTCCACATATTTTCGGGAAAAAAATTAAAGACTTAAATTTGGAATAGATAGCATTTATTTGGCTAATTTTAATATTACAGTCGATGGAAATATTACTATATACAATTATCATATAAAATTATATGTAGAATGTAGTCATAGAGTTTCAGTTATATAGCCTTGAAATTTAATATAGATTGAATTTATACAACAATAAAATTCGGATTAAGCTGATATACTGTCATTATCAAACTAATGGCAAATGGTGACTTGAATTTATATATAAAGAACCTAATTTCATACAATACAATAAGATTTTAATATTTATCAAGATTTGAGATTGAGATATTTAATCCAGATTAATTTATTTTAATTTGTATTGTCAGTTATAGCGTGGTCATTGTAAATTTATTACTTGTATTTCATTTCGTGACTATTTTTAATGACCAATCAATTATTGATCTGATATAGTCAAAATGGCTATTACCATTACATCGATAGTTTGAAGATTTTTGATTTCGACGATATTGAGAAAGATTCTTCATTTTTTGTACAATATTATTCAAAATAAAATTGACTTTCAAAAAATTCTAGAATTCTGGCATGATATTCTAATTTTCAATACATATCTCTTACTTATATCTTTAACTCAGACTGATTGATTACTCAGTAGTACGTATGTCATTATGTTATTGTATGAAGGTTGACAACCGGATATCACATTAAATTGATTTCTGGGAATTTCAAATAGGTGATAACCCAGTATTGTACTTAGGAGCCAGTTCCTGGTAGGCTTATGCCATGCAAAATTGATTATCTGGTGGTAACCTGATATGGCACACTTAAGTCATACCATACCAACGAATATTTGAATACACTTGAAAGTCATTATATTTGATATAGTAAGTTTTTGAATTTAGGAACAATTTACATTTTTTAAAAAATTAGGGATTTTGAGCAGTTACACAAGCAGAATAAAATTTATGATATTTCAACTGGTAACAAACAGCACAAAAAACCAATAACCTTTATATTTATGTCATTTTAGATATGATCAATGTGAAAATATGTTGCCCCAAATTTAGAATGTATACGACGTCGACTACTGAGGTATCACTCACTGTATTACTATTAGCTCCTATACCAACATAATTTTTTTTAAATTTTACCTTCAAAATTTACAAAAGTTTTTGGAATATCACAGTATTTATTCTTTTGTTTATTTTTACAGCTTGCCTCTCTCCACAAAAGGAAAATTTTCTACGTTGTCGCATATTCCATCACATGGAAGAGAATACAGTTTCAAAGACATCATCGATGAACTTGATCTTCCTATCAATTTAATAACATGTCGCAACTGTCCGCAAACTCTTTTGGATGAGCATTTTATACGACCAGGAATGCGTTTGAGGCTGACTGCGGTGAGTTTATCGATTCTGTGATTTTATTGTGCGCACAGAATAGTTTAATGTTGACGTTCGAGACGGAGCCTGTAGGAACAGATTTTGTGGATTACCGTTGTTGCTATGTAGTCTGGTACTTTCTCACATACATGCAATAAAAATACCCTTTTGGCAAAATTCATATGGCAGTACATGAAAATTTGAAATTTTAGAAATTGAAATTTCATTGTGCGAAATATCAATTTCTATTCCAAAATTCAGCAAATTAGGTAGGCTATTTACCCAAATGTTCGTTAGAAATTGTGTTTTGCCCATCCTTCTGGTAAAATTCATTTTGCATTACAGAAAAGTTATTAAAATTTTAGAAATTGAAACTTTATTGTGCGAAATATCAATTTCTATTCCAAAAATAGGCAAAGTAATAGGTTTTTGCGTGGATCGACTTTTATAAGACAATATATAAATTTTGGAAGTTACCGAATAGCTTAGTTGATAATATTATTCAAGCCATGAAATAGGCTATTAAGTTATTGCATAGTAGCATTTTTGATGGTGCTTTTTGCCAATAGCTCTTACTGAATCACTTGCTGTAATCATTTTAAATAGTATTCAAATTGTGACAGGGATTTTTAATAATATGATACTGTCTACTAAAGTTTTCCGTTATATATAGAAATAATAATTACAGTATTGATTCGAATGTATTGAATGCTTCCATTTTTGGAAAATTTTTCATTGACAGTGACGTTGTAAGTTGTTTCTAGTTCATGGTATGAATCAATATGAGTTTAGTATTGCACAAACATCAGGAATGGCCAAAATCTAATAATTTACTATTCCCAATACATTCTAAATTTATATATTGAGTATGTATGCAATTTCAAATTTATTTCAATTTGGTTTTTAATTTGGACATTCTTTTTACATTGTTGCTCGAAATACATGTTATTAATATACAAGTCAAAACAATATTATTTTATCTCAATATTTGTATTTCTGTGGTGGACGAAGAATGTACATGTTGAATAGCCTAATATAATAATGTCTCAAGTTCTTCTCTGATTTTAATTTTAATTTACCATATTCTGAATTAACCATTGAACAGCAAATCTATGATAATGTGCCAAATTTTACATTTTTTTTTCGGTACTCCTGAGTGTGTATACCAGGTTAGGGTTAGGCCATAATTTTATTCCTTATTTTAGTTCTATTACGGGTTCGGGGACTGTCTGTGTTAGCCAAGTGAATATACCCCCTACCCATAGGTTTCAGTCCCTTTACACAACTCAATGTAAAGTAGGCGAACAAAATTAGTTACCTCCATATTGGTACACATACTTCTGGAGTGCCGTTTTTACAGCAATGTAAAGGATGTTTTCTTTGTTGTAGTTGAATTATGTTTGTCTGGCTAATGTTTGTCTCCGATTATCTGGTCACTCCATCCTTCAATCTTATTTTTGATTCTACAGACTTCATCTGAATTCAAAACATTTTGATAAATAAAAGCGAATTTACAAAACACTTTCTTTTAATTAAAACCATTTAAGACTGACAAAAAATGGTAAAATGAAATCTTTCCAATTTTTTACCTATCCAGGTTGAAGAACATGAAGTTATACTGGGAATATCAATCCAAGAAAATGTAGTTGAATTTGCTGCAGAAGATGTTGAATTTATACTACCGAAACATTTGGAAACCGGAGGGGTAAAATATGACTTTTTTATTTTTAATATCCAAATGATTTTCAATTTTGTTTCATTCAATTTTGTGGAGTGTGATTTTTTGTGAATTTACACTTTAGGTATAACTCGAAACAAAAATCAAGGAATGGATATTATTTTTGAACCTAAATTAGACTTTTATGGGAGCTATGTCGATTTATAGATAATTGTTATACATTTTAGGATTACAAAGGTCGATTTAATTCATGTTTGCGCTTACTAATTCTGTATGAAACGATATTGTCTAAATGTATTCAGCCTGTAACTGTAATTTGTATTGATCACAAATAATAAAAAAATGAAAATTTGCTTCAATTTTATTTATATTCACTTGTGAATTCACCTGTAATCTTTTATTGATACTGGGTTAATATTGTTAGATGCAGTTCAATAGGATAGTTATTCTTTTTGTCTTGTCTGAATTAAGTATTTTCACCAAGTTTATATTCCACTTGAAGGAAGCCTATTGCACTTGCGTTAGTTGGGTATATAATATATTTCTCAACCTCCCACTTATACAAGGTTGTAGTGTTCTTCTGTTTCGCCTTGTAAATATTCATCTCGTCAGATATGTTTCTATCATGCTATATTTCTAAAATAAATTAAATGGGAACACTTTTATTTTGTATAGGACAAAGACCAGGAAATTGCTTATCAGACTGCTTTGCAACGTTTTCTCATGGAGTGTCAGATAAAGAATTCCCCAGTCAATATAAAAGATTATCAAAAGTACGTCCGGCTTTTTGTAACAATAAAGTATATAAGTATTACCGTATAAGGATTATATTATATGAAATACTTTACTTTCATTATTGTTGAATTATTAGGTCGACTCAATATGACTGATTTCGATAGAGGTTTATGTAGGAATCGCAGTTCTCAGCTTTTTTCTTCAACGAATCAGTAAAATTTGAAAACATCTCTTACTAACCATAAATCACAATGTTACCGAAGCTGCCTCAGGCTTATAGAACAAACCAACATTTCCCGTCCATCAACATTTACTGGCTTGTAATTCTGGCACCATAATTTAATATTTTCTGTAGATTTTGGCAATTTAGTCATTTGTAACTTTGTCTTCAGATAAAATATTTGAATTCCATGGCGTTAAATTAAAAATAAGAATATGCTAGCTTCACCTGCTTAAAAGTAGTATGGTAATATTTGATCATTGGTGCAATAATTTGAGTACCTTAATTATTTTAACCGCTATGCTATCTGTAAATCATAAATATCATTTGGAAAGGCTTATTCCAATAATTATATTAAAAAAATAAGATAGCATTTCATTTTTATCCCAGGGGAGAGGACAGCCGATAAGTGGGCTTAATCATATTGCGATCTACGGCCTCTTGTCCGAATACCAGTTCATTTTTGTTTTTTTAAATTTTTGTGTACAGATAATTTTGTAATTTTTTATTCCACAGATCAATACGAAGTCATATTTCAAGGGTAGTTCGACCAACCAAACCCAAAGCTCTCAGTCAAACTGCTGCAAACCGTGTTTACAAGTACAATGCCACTCAAATGTCATTTCAAAATGGAATGCCAGCGATTGCATTATTGTCCACTTCTAACAAGTATAAACTTTTTTGTTTCGATTTTTGTTTGTTTTTTTCTATCATTTTCTACAAATTATTCAAAGTTGACTACCATAATAAGTCTTTTCAAGGGGCTTTCGGGTTTTGAAATTTATACCTGACTTCAAACTCTTAACCGTTTTCAAACTTCTTCTGGCTCAAAGTTGACAAAAATGTTGTTTTGAGAATGCTTAGTCGACTTAATGCTTTTTTTAAACTTCGATAATCACCATCAAATTTTTGAAATTCAGATGCCTAAGAATTCTAAATTTCGACTTCGACTGAACTGTGGACTAGGACTTTCCATCTTCGGCGTTTTTGTCCATTTCCTGAACTAATCTATTATTCAACAAACAGCTGTGCTGATATTATCATCATAACATCCATATATTTGTTTTCTAAATTTATTTCCATTTTCTTAGTTTTAGAAACTTTGATCGGCGATCCAGTCATCCTTCTGATGCTCATCTTACTCAAAGACACTCGATGCCTTTGCCTGCTCCGCCTCAAATTACTCAAGAAGTCACTCCCCCATTACCTCCGAGGAATTCTCGGAGCGGATCCAATTTGCGAGTAAATGGTGCAGGAATACCAAAAAGGCCACTTTCAGCCAGATTAAGGAGCCTAAGTCCAATAGACTTCGATGATTTCCCAACGAGACCGCCACCACCTCCACCTAATTATCCACCTGAAAGACCAAAAGCAGCATCAATGAATGAAAGGTAATTTGCAAAATTAGAATAGTAGAAAATATGAAGAAATTTGCTCAAGATGCTATTCCTATGTAAAGACTTATTTTATTTCAAATTTTTCGATTTAGCACAGATTACAGTAAAATGCTGAATATAGGTTGACAGTATTTTGATAATTATCTTTCATCTTCATTTATTTATTTAATGTTTGGCTAATGAGTAAGTACACTTTTATATAAAAAATAACACGATTACAATAACGCATAAATTCATTTGATTTTCCCCTAATTTCATAGCACTGTTAATCATATGTCTGGAGAACGAATTTGGGAATCATTGGATGAAAGTTGCTTGAAAAAATTACGTGAAGAAAAAGGTTTAATTGAGGAGATAGAGAGGAATGATTCTGTGTTTGAAAACAATGCAACAGAGCAACGAACAGGTTTGTTGAAAGACCGCCTTGTTTTTGGGCTACTTTATATCATATTTGCAAAATTCAACTTTTTTCAAAGACTATGTTAAAAATGATTTAAAGGTTTCTAACATATTTAAGATGAATTTTAAGATTTTAATAATTTTAGTCTTCACTCCACATTGGCAATAAGACAAAAAAAAAGTATTTGAATTTGAAACTTATTTGTTTGCATAGAGATTTTTGACGAACTACGCATTTAAATCTTAACAGGTCTCGCTGTACCAACAAGTTCATTGAACGGTGGAGTGTTTCATCTTTCTGAAAGCACTATAGAAGCTCCTAGAAGATCAGTGTCACCTGAATTTACATTATCTGCACAATCAGCAGTTCCATCTCTAGTCGAAACAGAAGGTTCAGTAGAAACAGACAGTTCAGTAGAGAGTGTCAGCGATTTGACACCCACTGTTGAAATTTCTAAAGAAGTTTCATCTGTCGTCGGGAACAAAATTGCGAACCCAATTCGTTCAGTCAATATGAACCCCTACGAAAATGTTGTTTTTTTGGAAAATAAAGTTTCAATCAAAGTAATATCAGATGATAATCAAAAAGCAGAGTCTTTAATTGTTGAAATACCAGAGAAAAATGAAAATATGGAAGAGTCATCCAAACATAATTCAGAAAATGCTGTGTCATCAACACAAAAAGAAATTAATGCCGAGTCAGCAAATCAACAAGAAATAAATACTGAGTCAGCGAAACAGCAAGAAATAAATGCAGAGTCAGCGAAACAGCAAGAAATAAATGCTGAGGCAGCAGTTGAAGATTCCGAATCGCAAATAACTAGCTTGGAAATTTCAATCTCTTCCACAAGGTCAAGTTCAAGTGCAGAAAAAAGTGATGAAGATGAACCTAATCGAAGTCAAAATTCTCAAAGTTCAACATTCCCGTCGACGTCATCAACAAGCAGTTCCAGCACTTCGAAATCAGGTCGTCAACGGGATGGTAAAATGTGTTAAGATTGTCTGTAATTGTCTGTAGATGCAAAATAAAGTGATTTTGTAACAGCTTTTTGGACATAAAATGGTTCGTTTTGCTACAGTTGTTGTTGTTGTTAAAGTTTTGAAAAATGATTTTCTTCGCAAGTGATAGGCCATTTAAATTAAATTATAAGTACTTGAAAATGATGAAATCGGTAGAAGGCTAGAAAAGATGAAATCGGTAGAAGGCTTTCACTTCAAATTTTTTCACAAAGTCTTGCTGGGCCCAATATTTCATGAACTGTGTTGTTCGCTTTTTACCCCACAAGTAATAAACCAATCAATTTCAAGTTTTCAGTACTTGAATACTTCATCCTCAATCTTGACTTAATGTCCATATATTTGAGCATTGATCTCTTTTTAAACAAAGTATTGATGTGTTTACCTCAATACTTGTAAGTTCTACTAATAAATTAAATCGTAGCCGTAAAAAATAATAAAACTTACTTTTCATTACAGGATTTTATCATGTTTCTCAGTTCTCTGTTATAAGTGATGACAGCAATCCATTACAACATGTTTCCTTTGCTTGTAACTATGTTCCAGTAAGTTAAACTATCAGTATTTCAATTCAATTTTCACCTGGAAAGAATAAAGAACAATTATACTGGTTTGAGTCTGATCTTACATCTGCTTATTGTCATGTCAAAATATCATGCAAACTGGTTGGCACGTAACCATCATATTTCTATATAGTTTCAGCAGCTCTTCATTTTGTTGGCCGCCCGTAATATTACTCAGATTGCCGCTCACTTATGAGTGAGTGTGAATGACCTTGTTTTGAGCAAATTTTTATGTAAGGCATTCAATCTAGCTAATCGCGTCAATTATTAATGAAGACAGTAGACAGAGACTCACGGAGTATATGAAATTCCATTCTGTCAGTTATCAACTTTAATATGGTCAAGTAGTATTTTTTCCACAAACTGTTATGAAACATTAGATCAATGAGAGTTGGAAAATCCAAACATCTTTAAAACAAAAATTTTTTAGCTCGACATGCTTTACAATATATATTTACGCTCCATATTTGAAACTTTCAATTTTGAGTTAAAAAATCTTACAATTATTCAATTTTCTCTTTTCAAATTATCTAGTCGCCAAGAAATTGGATTCCACCATATGACCTCTCTGGAATGTCCGTTTCCGAAGTATCAGATGCACTGAGGTATAATTTTTTGTTCTTTTAAAAATCTACTTTCAATTCTCTCACGAATTTCACTTTTACCTAAATGCTGGTTAAAATTTCAGTCAGTTTAGAACTGAGCCACTTTAAATAGGCAATTACTGTTATATAGACAAAAAAAATTTTATCAGTCAGGTTTAGATAATAGGTATGTGTGGTTTATCATCCATCTAAGGCTTAGTTTCGAAACCCCGGCCCACGATTTAATATGGCCCGCTGATCTTAAATAAAACACTTTTGTTTTTGTATTTTTTCGTCTTTGATACCGCCAATTGTTACGTCGTTATCACAGTTTTAACACATGTATATCCTAACAATTCAACTATACCGGTATTTCGGTATCGGCCCATTGCGGCGCTCTCCTCTTCCAGTCCCTGAATATTCTTCTGCTTCTAATTTTGATCCCCGGTCAATCTACTTTGGGTACATATGTAAATATGGTAACATTGTTGCTAGATGTAATGGACTAGCTTGAATATAACTTGGACTATCTATGAATATAACGCTAATACACAATAACTGGTATGTCACAAATAAAATTTATTTACACCACCTCTGTATATTTTTCCCCTAAAATTATTCTATTTTCTCTTAATTATAAGGTATATTGGCATGAATGAAGACACCGTTGAATGGTTTCGTGCTGAAAAAGTTGACGGTCATCTACTGTGTGCAATCGAGAATGAAGTTTTAACCCAACATTTTCGATTAACTCCTTTCCAACAAAAGAAAATGGTTATGTTCCTGAAAGGATGGCGTCCAAAACTAAAATAAGCATACATGTCAAGCGGTATTCAAATTTTTTTTAAATGCGTTAGTGGCAAATTCACAATTTGTTAGTAATTTTAGGGATTGTTTTAATTACTGAACAACTAGGTTTATAGAAAGAATAAATAAGAACTCTGGACCAGAGGTTTTTAATCTTTTATCCTTTTCGCACCCCTTTGAAGTCATTAACCGATTCTTGTAGCGACAAAGTTTTTTTTAAATTACCCATTTCCGTAGCTTCAGCTGCATCTTTTCCCTTGTAAGTTCGTTCTATCACCATAAGTTATTCAAAATTACATTCTTCATCGTTCCATGACTGGATAATTTTGTTATTTTCTAATCTTAAACCCACTTTTTCATACCAGTCTTCCGAGTATATGGATCCTCAGGTAGTTTGGAGTGTTTTCAACGTTTGTATTTATTGTGAATGTATTCTTGTATTTTACATTAACACATTGTTTTCTCTCTTGTTCTTCAATGTTGTAATCATTAAGTCTTCAAATTTTTGTGTAATATTGCTGCCTTCAATGAGATTATTAGTGTTTCTTTTTCTTCCTAATTGTTTATCTTTTATTTTCTATCTGCGAGAAAAAAAGGTTGTATATAATAATATTATTTGCAGTATGTCTTATTCTAAATTTTTGCAATATGCTCATTACTTATAGCTTGCCAAGTAAATTTTTTTATGCAATATTTTCCCATGACGATTCTGCTGTGTGAACAGCGAAGTAGATTATTATAATTACTGTGTTGTTAATAACATCATTTCACATTTTAATGGTTTATGTATAAGATGGGAAACCGATAATGTACCTGATTAACTTGAAAATCTGCTGAAATATTTGTAGTCTGAGCATTATATCAAGTATGGTTCTGATATTGTCTCTTTAAAAACATTATCATATTTGGTCATGCATCAAATACCAAAAAAATTATTCAATTCAGAATTGAAACAAAACTGTTCTTTGAAGACGTACACACATAAAAGTATCATTTTGTAAAAGAAACTTGTTTATATATAATAATGAGATAATTAAGTCCATTTCGCTCAAGGGAAAATATGATGTCTTTTGAGATTTAGAAACTAATTGAAGACATGTCCGGAAATTAGTCTCCGTTTGGTCCTAATGTGAACTACAACTTTTATACATTTCATCGTTATATCAACGTGTTGGAATTCTTCAATTGGATACAAAAAGAAGTTTATCAAGTCCAAAATATAGTTTTCCTTCAGCATTGTCCATGAATGAAAACAGCCTTTTCTCTGTGTGAGAAAATGCTGTTATTTTTCGAATAGAAATTTTTTGTTTTGTTGAAAAAATTGATGACACTTATTATGTGAGGGTGTAAAGTCATGAAATTTTGACACGATACCACTGTACAACTATATGGTATGAACTTTTGTGATTTTTTTCTCATTTCAAAAGTATTTTAGAACCCGAATCATAACCTTAATTATTCTTTAATATGAAACTCGAGCAATATTTTGTTAGGTACTTCTTTTATTACGATAAGGTGAACATAACTATTCCATGACTAAAACAGAACAAATTCTGCAAATTTACTTTATTTCTTCTATATATAACGATTAACCAGTATCTAAGGTTGTTAAAACAATTAAACAATTAATTGGTCATTGGCAAACCAACATTCCATGGCTGTAAATATATTCATTTTCTGTACATCAAACACAAATTTGAAAACAGTGTGAATTAGTCTTTCCAAAACCAATTAATACATATCAATTTTGTTATTATACCTTTGAATCAATTTGCGTTCAGAATATTGTAAATTTGGAAACCTTTGTTTTAACGAAAAAGAGTAGGTTGTCAACTAAAATGATGAATTTATTAATCTTTATTTAAATGTAGAATTGGTTTCGGTTGAATTTTTCTTACCTTTTTGGGGGTCTAATTTAGAATTCCAGATATAATATATTATATTTTAGGATTCCTTCCAAAAGTAGATCACACATTTCCAGTCATCCCCTGGGTATTTCATTTTCATCGTATTGTAACAAATTTTGATATTTCTCATTTTTATTTGGTTCGACTATTCAGCAGGTTTCCTAATTCTGGCTGTGCGTGTGTATAATTTTGATCTATGCATGAGATTTGAGAATGGAATACCATACTTCATTAACTTCAATACTATAGTCTATCAATGAAAAGGTACATTCACGTTTGATGGTTTATCCCGCTATATGATGCTTATTTAGTTATGTCTGAACAAGTATCAAACATTGATTGCATCTGGCCTGTGAAATCCCATGAAATTTACACCAGACGGTGTATTTATATTCATAAACGAGTCTGACTGATATTTTGGTGTATGCAATCTTTTTTTTAATTGTCTACTGAGAATACTTAGTCCCTAATCAACTTGATGCTTTTTTAGTTTTCTGTTGAAGATTTCATAAATTTCTGCGTATTTTCTGCTATGAACACAATGACTGCTTCCGGTTTGGTTAAACATTGTAGGCTTCTGGAAATATTGAGTACAATCTGTGTATTTATGGAGTTGACAGGGGAGAATTGTCCGTTAGGGATAAAATATTTATATGGAATAGCAGTATCTTTTTATTTACTGAATGATATCGCGATTATCGTTTATATTTTCTGCTAGTATTTATTTCGTGAACTGCAAAATAAGTGTATTATCTGTAGCGATAAGCCTTTAATGCCTTACTCTTCAAATAAATTTTGAGGGATGTATTCATTGTTTCAATTTTATCGCGGCGGTGGATTGTTTTCAGTGTATATCATTCAGACGGTTGAGCTCACGAAACCATATATGGGTTAAGATTGCGACAACGAGTCCAGCAATACTATCTCACATGATTGATGAGAGGGGGGATTCCAAAGATGGAGCTTATGACGACATGATATGATGCCATATTTTGTATCTGATATGACGTGAAGAATACGCTGTCGCGGATCTTGTCTTTTAATATTTGTTAACTGTTTTGTGAAGTTATAAACATATAAAGTTGTAATATGACATAGTGCCATCAAACGTTCTGGTAACACGGGTCAACTTTGAAGTGGCAGGTGTGTTCTTTATACCAGGGGCGTGCAACATTTCAGCCGATGGTTTCAATGGTTTATATAACCAACTTCATCTATCTGGGCCACACAAAAATTAGTTTTTCCATATACACAACGGCAAGAGAAGATAATGCGGCTATTGCTTGCACTACCAGTAGCAAAAGTACGTATTTTTACCCATGTAAGCGCCTCTTTAAACTGTCGGATTGGGATTTCATGCTTGAAGGGGTGAATCTGAGTGTTGACGGGGACCACACTAAATGGGCTGCGGTCCGCCTTTTGCACACCCCCAGCTTAGACTAGGGCTACCAACCGTCCCGGAATTGACCTCTGGCGTCCCGGGCTGAGCTGAGGTTGTCCAGGAATTTACTGACAACCAAAGCGTTGTAAAATAGAAGTCACTGTAAGCGTGTGGGCTTCGTTCGAAACTGGAAACTTCAAATAACCCAATCCAGTGAGATTTGAAGAATTTAGTTATTAAGTAGCGGTTTGAAACGACGTTTTGTGTTTCTTGTTTTAAGTTTATAATGCACTGCTAGTGCATATTATTCAGTCAGTTCGTAGGACGACTCGCTGACAGCTCTTTGTGTTAGCGAGAGTTCATCGATTATTATATTTCCGTAAGGATTACAAATTTTAACATAAACTTTTGGCAGGAAGTAAAAATTTACTTGTTTTAAAAAATTTCAAGCGGCAAAATCACAAAAAAAATTTAAATACCAGAAAGACTGATTTTTTGTTAGATAATTAAATTTATTTTGCACAAATTGTGCATTTTCCCTGTTTTTTTGCATTGATGCTTCAAAGAATCAACGTGTCACAAGCTTTTTTGATTATGATAAAATTATTTACAGGCCTGAAGTTTGTGAAAATAACGCCGTGCGATCATCAATTATTGAAGCGCAGCTCGCACTGCTTTTTTTTTGTATTTCGTGTTTCGCGAGCTTCTGTTGTATCAATTTTCAAATTCTAAACATTAAAGTGTCCCGGAATGGTTAACACAAAGTTGGCATCCCTAGCTTAGACCGATGATCCAATCTTCAAGCACAACCGTATATTAGTCGTTGAGCACAACAAATAATTTTTAACCTGCAGCACAGTCCAACAAATCGTGTCATAACCTCCTTTAAACGGTCGCATCAAAGCTGGAATGAATATTGAGACACGAATAAGATTTAGCATCTTCGTAACCCTTGGATGAAGAATACACAAACATAATTCAGCTAGAAACGGGACTACGTACCTCGTATAATGGGAATGGGTGTTGTCACATTTATGTAGATCGGTATGTTTTAAATTACATATATATATATATCACAAATCACGGCCTCTAGTTTTGACAAAAAGCTTCGCCATTTTCATTGGAATTATGTTGCCGAGCATTGGCCAGCTAAGGTAGTTTTGTGGCAACTGTATTCTGATTCTGTATCAATCAGGTCGCTTCGGACACCATCCTTCATTGGCAGCCATATATTGTGCGATTTTGTGCACAACACCCAATGAAAAATGTTTTGATTTAGTGTAATACTTTTCCTGGGTAAGGATAACTTGGGTCATTTGGTTTACCATATCACTGACAGCATTTGTATTAACTTCCGGCAAAGTGTCCAAGCCTGCAATTCTTTTCTTTGATTTTTTCTTCTTCTTATGCTTCGATTTGTTTTTTGAAACAGCCCGGTCAGTTTTGATATACGTTTCTAAAGCTATCAGATCTTCGGCCATTTTCTCATGCCCATACTCGTCTATTTTCCGCCACAGTGTCTTGTTAAAATAGTCATAGAGCACTCGATCCTGAAGGGGAAAAAATATTATTTTCGTCGAAACATAACATCGTCGAAACATAACATCTACTTGTACGGAACCTTTTCAGGAGCTTGGGTGCGTGGGAATTAATTTCCCCAGCCAGACGAAGTATGGAGTTAACTGAAGGTAATTTACAGACGGGGACCGTACATTTGAACCCACGTAAACAACTTTGAACCCATGTGTATATCCGCGGGTTCAATCTATATGCAGGTGCTAAAACACATGGGTTAGGGTTAGTATGGGTTCAAATATCCGTAAAACAAAAAAAATTTCCATAGATGCAATAGTATGCAGGTGCAATTGTCGTGGGTTCAGATGTACGTGGTTCAAATGTACACGGGTTCAAATGTAATGGAACCTTCACAGACATATATATATTACCTGGTTCGTCAAAGAATGAACTATGACCTCTTCATCCTTTGTATAAAGGTGCTTTTTATATCTTCCTTCGTTACTGTGGAGTGGAATAATATCTTCCCAAGTCATGCATAATAAGTTCTTGAAAGGAAAATAGTGTGTTTTAATTTGATCAAAATAAACAGCATGTTTTAGACATTTCAAAGAACTCGGAAAAAATCTCCTAAAAAAAACTTTTTATTACTGATAATTTCGAAACGATTGGTTCAGTTTAGCAGAAAAACTGTTTTCAATAACAATAAATGATCCATGTACGCACTTCGTGACTAATAATAGCATTTTTAATTGTATATCTCCGTAATCTAAATGTAATATTTTTCGTAATGGTTCAAATTAAGTGAATAACAACAAACCTTTAGTAAAATTAGAGACTCCATGAAATGTTCAATTATCAGAACCAAATCAAAAGTATCGTCAAGTTGACGAGCTTGTTCCAGAATATATTTTTCATCCATATTTGAAGAATCCAAACCAAGATCAAACGATTGATAATTCCTAGTTCTTTTAAATGTAAAAAGTACGTTATTAGATAAGATATTATATTAATAGATTATGATAAAACTTGTAGAAGTTATTGATTATGTTATCCAAATTGATAATAGTCAACTTAAGGTATAATTTAACTTGATGTAAGTTTTGTGTAACAGTAACCTTGTTGTTCTTTAAGTATCACATCACTGGTTAGTCAATTAGTTTCTGCTATCTTACCTAAAATACCACGCGAAAGACTCAAGGTTTGAAGAATTCACAACCCTGAGATATTCCGAATAACTGGCATCCTTCTTTTTCATTATCTGGATATATGGTTCACCTGCACAAGCAATCTGCAAAGATAAGCATCATAACCATGTAGCTATCGTTTATGCTGTGCAGTACTCGAAAATCCCATCGAAATCACTCATATATATATATATGATATTAAACTATATTATTATTGAAATATTAGTGATTCCATTAAAGCCCCCAGCCGTTTACTGTCAGCGTGCCCAGCGGAAAAAAAAAATATCTCCAAAATTTTTTTCAAGAACTTCACTTCTGTAAAATTTTCATCTCATAGCTGTTTTCCTTATCGTATTGATATGAACTGCATTTTGTCTCGTGTCAATCGGCATTTACCAACGCGTTGTTACACGCTATGATTTTTTATAATCTCAGTAGCTCTTGTGTCATTCGTAGTAGTCCGTGAGGATGCCAAGTATGACTACTTACAAGTATTTGATTCTCATCCGAATCATAAATTTTCGATTCCGATTCTCAATTCCGAATCTCCATTCCTCGGCATATTTTCCGAGAAAGCATACCCACTTAACAATACCACGTGAAATTAAACAAGAGGGCGATCTTCAAATATATGGACGGACAAGAAGGCCAAAACTAAGTAGTATGGGTATTTAATCTGTCACAGTATACAAAATCGCACAAAAAAACGAATCCCTCAGAACCCACAGAGATTTTTACAATAAATAAACGTAACATCTTTCCAGCTTCTAGCAAAAAATATATAGTAGGGCGGGGGATGATGGCCCCCCTTATTGAAAATTATCTATATTTCGAAAACCTTCCTTCAAATATTCCTAAAACTTTGCAAGTACAAACATAAGGGGCTGAACTCTTTAGCCACTCGGCGGCGTCCGCCGGTCTCCAACCATCGCAACAGCAGAAACGTTTTTAAGCGAAAAAAAAATTCGGGGAAGTTGGACATATGGTCGGATATGACGGACATGTAATAAAATCGCATCAAAATACTAGTATTGCGTTCTGTTTCTTATCAGAATATCAAAATATGCAATGTATTTGGAAAAATTTTTGGGGCATTCGAAAATTCCCCCTATGTCCATCTTACCCCTTAAATTTTTGAAGTTGTGAACCAATATATTTGTTCACGAAAGTATGATAAAACACCACCTAGTAAAGCAGCCAAATTTTATTTGATCATACTTTCACACAAATCTTAATCATAACACCAAAAGAACATCTGGGATAGCATGAAAGCTATCGTCATGGAATTTTACATTCGAATGAAAATATTTATACAAAAAAGCTTCAAGCAGAGCAGTCATCACATTGGAAGGACACAATGTGTTTTCCATAAATCCCGGCACAAATATCGTGAAGCCACTTTTGGCATTTCTGGCACTGAATCCATCCCTCGTCCTCTTCGTCGTCAAAATATTTGACCTTGCAGACAGCACAGAGGTTACTGTAACAATATCTTTCATGTCGCTCATTCTTACGTTTATTTTCTTTTTTCTTCCTGGGAGCTGCAACTTTCTTAGACGAGCTAGATGACATCGTTTCTGCGAGTGCTGTAGTTTTCCTGAACGAGCTAAGTGGCGTTGTTTCTGCGAGTGCTGACAGTTCGGCTACATAATTCTCACTTGTTAACACTCTAATTCCTGCCTGAATGGCTTTCTTTGCCTCTTGGCTCTCTGAGTGGCTACTGGAAGAGGCAAATATATTCAAATGATAAACTGGTGCTATCAGGTCTCTGCTATTTTCTTGCCTCAAAGAATCACTGACTTCATCAGAAACTAACTGAACTCCTGGTGAAGTTCTACTTGAAAAAATCGTTAGAGAGCACAGAGCAGCATGGTTCACTTGTGACACTTTCTACCTCTGTCGTGGTGTTAACCTCATGAGATGGTACATCGTAGTCTCTATTTGTTATTTGCCTCTGTTTGATATTCTTTGGTATTTTCTCAACATTCTTTAGGATTTTCTGTTTCCCGTGCATCCAAAACTTGCATCTGGAAAAACATGATAGTACATAAGGGTAAGATGGCCACCCCCCATAATTTCATAAGATTATTGAGATTATCCAAGAAGTGTTTTGACAGGTAAAAGCAATAACAAAATTATAAAGAAGACTTTCTGGTATCTTATTCACAAAGAACGGGTTTGAACGGTCAAAGTAAATATAAGCCCAAAAAACGCAAGAAATTTATTACCCCCTCATAACCCCCCCATTTTTACATGATCACATGCTGAAAGATATAGTTAGCTGCTAGATGGCACAAGTCGCTCAGTTAGTCCTAAATCATTGTCAGTAAGTATAAACTTACCAACAAACGCGCGATTCAGAGTTCCTTCGCTGAAAATGAGCATATAGTGCCTCCAAGAAAAACGTGTCCTTACTAAATGCCCTTTTTTCACCCTTCAAAAATCACAAGCTACGTGGAAAGCTACACAACCGACGAACTACGCCAAGCGCTGAACCGAAATGGCTAGAACGAATTCCCTCCTTAGCAACGAACTCGGCAATGGCATTTGCAGAACCAAGCCCCATAAGATGTCGCCAATAGGTCAATTTGAAAAAAAGTGTCCATCTAACCCCGTGTGTCTATCTTCCCCCGCCCTACTATATATATATATATATATAGTGAAGTTTGTGGCGTCGTATGAACTCAGCATAACAGTAAAGCAGTTTATACATATATGTGGAGGACTTGCCAAAAAACGTTACACATTGTTTGCAATCCAAGTTTTAACCTTGAGAATCGATTCCAATGCACCGGAATTAATTCTGGTCCATCCCTAGTCGTCCGTAGCTTCGTTCAGAGATCAATTGCTGGGTGACTGCGCGAGACCTTAATTGCGTTGAGTAAATTTACGTAAAAAGTGTCGTGTGTTAGAGATTAATGAATACATTAAGTATTTGAGTTTATAAAGACATGCCAAAATGATGATCAAATTGCCATTACCGGATGCTGAAGATGGCGTTTCTTCAATTGAGTCAGGTAATAATAGTGAAACGATGATTCAAATGCTTGTATTGGATTTCGTAATATTGTGATGTATCTAAAATAGAAATTACAATTCATTACGCAAAGACATTTGAACAAATCATGCCAAGTTAAGTCCTATTATATTCGGTACCGGCAACGGGGTGCTAGTGGACTCTTCTTGCTTTTGAATCAAAACAAGACAAGGACTTTTAGGTAAAGTGTTAATTCCCCTTTTATTTGTAATTTTAAAATTATCATCTTCACACGGGAGTGTTGACAGTTTTTCTGTCGGATAAGAAGTATATATTTAAGAATGCATTCTGATATGAAACTCAAAATTGAGTGAAGCATATTTAATGATTCGCAACTGGTGCTTACTTGGCATCGGGATTCAATAACGCTTTTAATTCTTCTTTATTAAATCTAAAATGACCCGATACGACATCAGGTATTATGTTTCCTTGTACAACATCATTTCTCTGGGTTTGTGTATTATTAGCTGACATACTTTCACATAAGCTCCCTTTAAATGTTCCCGGGTAACCTCCAAGAAATGGACGAGGAAACGCGTTTACCTGGAAAATGATGTGAACGCTGGAATGAACGTTAATAATACTCTTATGCTTAAAGCATATGAATAAAAAAAAAATAGAAGTTTAAGGCGTTCGAATCTCTTTCGCGCACAGGATGCATTTTACATACATGTAGGATGTAGCTAGTTCCATGACTCGGTCCTGTAGGTCCGTAATCAACAAAAATGTTGTAGGAACCAAGAATCTCTAGTTCAAAATTTTCCCAGGGTCGAGTACAGTATATAATTTGTTTATATTTCGTGCGACAATGTTAGAGAAACGCTTTGCATCGCAACGAAGAAAAACGAAAACATGTGCTCTAAGGTGTACTGTATGGATAAGTATAATATTTATGTGCTATCGAGAACGGCGGTTATCGCCACCAGTTTAAAACCTGATTAGAGCGTATTAATCAACTATCGTTTCAGTAAAAGTTTATCTGTTCCAATGTCCTTACCCTGTTGTATATGTTATTTTTTTCAATATATCTGTTTAGAATTCCGTATAAACTTGTACTGCCCGTCTTGTGAGTCTTCAAATACACAAAGCTTCGAATGGGAGAACATGTCGTCTCAGTTTGGTTTTCGCTTGATGATGTTATGCTCAATTCATCCTGTATGAATAAGTATATATATATCCAGACAATGGTTTTATTAATTCAAAAAATAGAGAACTAGACGCTACTTTGCGTTTATTAGTTTCTCGCCCACAATATCGTTGAGAAAACAAAATCTTTTAGACTTAAAATCGAGACCTAGAATAACAATGCGACTGTGTGAAAGTGGTTGAAAGCTGACCGAGAACTATCTCAGAGTGGAATTCCCTCCAAACCATTCGGCGGCGTAAAATAATTTGTCGTATCATCGTAAACGTTGGGTAATTCATAGCCATAGGCGTGTTTTTGTACACGAATTTCATAAAATCGAGTGCCATAAAGAGTCTTGTAGCCTAGTCCCTGACTAAAGTGATGCATGAATAATGCCCAAAACTACACAACAGTAACTGAATCTTATAAGTTTCGCAAGATAATATGCAGCAGCAAGTTTCTTATAGATACAAATTGAAAAAGGTTTGCCATCCCTGACTTACTGAGTTCTCCCAAAATTCACACGGAAGTTTTGCTGATATATATCACTCAATCAAATATAACAGCGAGTGAAGACATTTCTGGCATCACTAGCTCGATCTATTTCCACATTCCAAGCTATTACAAACCTTCGTCAATACTTCTTTTTCTTTTCTCTCCCGTAGATCTACAATTGCGATATATTTTGGATTCTTAACTATTTTGTAGAACATTATACCAATTGCAAACGATATTGTAAAAATACACAACTGTGTCGTCGTCTTTTTTCCAAGTGGAATCATCTTTTAAAAGTTGTTTCGATCATTTCGATAAATTTTAATCCAGTTATATCTTTGCTATGTCTCTTTCCGTTTACCAAATATCGAACAAACTTTCAGTTTCAGGTGAAACCTATCGTCGAATAAGCCACTACTTATTATAAGAAGTGAGTAGTTTACTATATATATTCCCTATTTGTAACCTTAACCCTATATATATCATGTTTCGACCACGTACGTTGCCTCCGGGTATATATGTACAGCGATCGGTGAATCAAGGCATTGGCAATGCGATTCGTAGAATAACTATATTAACGTGTACAATGATGCGTATCCTAAATTGATGACGATGAAATATTTGTATATTTATGTATATTTATTAATTAAATTTTGTAATCAGTGTAGGCTACTATAGAATAGACGTATGTGTGAACGAGAGTTGACGCGCGCTGTCTATTTGAATAATACACATGAAAAAGTGTTATTGTTCCTATCTATTCTATCTTGTATTATATTTTGACATTTAGTCGAAACAAAATTTGTAATTAATTCATTTTCATCATATGTTAGTGTGGAACTAACCGGACTAAATAATGCTGCATCGTATTTAACAAAACAAAAAATCTTGAGGATTGAGTGTCCTACTTTTACCATATTCAAACTGGCATACATTTAGCCAGACATGACATTTAAATGATAATTTCCTCAACTCAATTATTTGGATTGAGTTTGGTTATTCGACCATTTGCTATTCTGTTGTAGCCATATTTTCAACTTGAATTCCCCCTTGTGTTCTGCTTCCAAATAATATATTTTATTACTGGCTTAAATATGTTAGTAATCCTACCAAGATGCATATAATCTTTTGTCATGCTGGTGATACATTTTTATCACATTTTTTTCGAGCCCGTCATCCACTGATATAGAGTTTATATATATATATATAGATTTTTTTCTCTCTCTTTTCTTATATCGAATGTTTGTAAATATAAGTATTTTCCATCATCTAATTATAAAGCATATAGAACTTTTATTGTGTAAATGAGTTCTCAATAAAATAGTTCTCCCCCAATAGTTTTCTGAGATTACATCGAATTTTTAAAAGTCTTCAATGTGAACCTTCATCACTTCAGCAAATAGGGTTGGTCGTATCACTCTCTCCCGTCAATACCAAAGCAATTTTATTTGTGTTATGTATTTTTTCGTATTGATGACTGTTTGTTTTTGGTTGACAAAATAATAAAACTCTCTCTCTTTATCCACAAGGTGGCGATACAAATCGCCATGGAAACATCAACGCCAGAAGCGCCAGAATTACCGGTAGCAATTTTGTGACGAAATAATAAAACAAAGTTTGGCATTTGTGATGTCACTTGGGAGTTAGAACTTGTGAATGAAGCTCACTTATTTTGTATAAAACTTGATTATATTGACGATGCAGACAAGTCAGAAAATACCATAGGCCACTGGCAGAATGCCAGTTGACAGTCGGCACCGTCACGATATGTGCACATAATCATAGCAATGCGTTTACTACAGTACTCCCATTAAACAAATTAAGTGCGGTATGAAAATACACAATTTAAACAAACAAATATACAGAAAATAATGAAAATAGGCAAAATCTGAAAATATGTGATAAAGCTGTAAAAGGGCACTCTCCAGACACAGAGACACTTAACTTTGAAACCGCAGAAACACCGACAGATGTCACTCATCCATTCAGATATCTATTATACGGTACTTAAATAAGTTTCAGCATATTACGGTACTATTTATTGTAAGTTAGTCCTCTATTTTTTTTCTTTCAGGATAAGATTTACAAATTTATCCTGGGGAGGCCGGGAGGAATATGACAGCTTAATCCTATTGCGTACCACAGTCACTCGTATGGTTACTACTGTACTAGTTCATGTCGAGTATGGGATTAGTTAGTCAGTTAATTGTTTCAAATGTATGGATTCTATATTGGAGAAAGTCTCAATCGACCCGCGGTTATGTGAACCACCCTATGACACACATAATTATCCACCACAAGATTCAAACCTGCGAACCCACATGGGATAAACAGAGGTGACGTGGCTAGCATATTCCTAACGCTGCGTCCCACCACCACATATCTGCTTATTGTTTTTGGGTACCATTTCTGTATAAAATTATCATTTGCAAATTTAATATGGACTGTCAAAACATATAGTCTGTTAGTCGTATCGAGTACATTACAATGACTAATAGATGTTTCCTCGAACATCAGCTATTTTGTTCTATCATGCAATATTTGCAAATGAGAAAAATATATAAACTGCCTTAACAATTTATATTTCCTATTTGGCATATTATTATATATTATTTCATTTCCCAGTTATCTCTCCATTTGACTGATAAAATATATAGTGATTGATGAATTGTCATGTGATGTACCCAATCTATACATGGAAGTTCATTGATATTGTGATGTCACAATCTAGTCTTTGAAGACAGATCGAACAAGATGGATGAGAGACATTGGTGGATTGCGACAAAAATTCAGGAGACATTTCAAGTTGATGATACAGACAGGTTATTTGGATAATAATATTTGGAAGGCTGGCGTTAGTGAGTTCGGTATCGTCGGCGCAGATGCCATTTCGGACGATGGTAGGGTGGCTTACCCACTTTGCGGCCATGACCTATCTGCGACCATCAACTTCATCGATTAAATTAATGCCGAAAAAATTAACGAAACGCGCCGATATTTCTCACGCGTTATCGTCCACTTATCCCTCGTAGCTCTACGAAATTACACTAAAATGCGGCCACAAATAAAAAAGTTATGACCGAAAACCTGACCGAAGAAAAAAAACGGACCATTTTACCATGTCGCCAACTACCCATTGTTCCTTCAAAAAAGCTTGAAAATCCATACAAATATAAGAGATAAAGAGATGAAACTTGGCAGGTGGGTAGAGTTGTGTTTCTTTTACCCATCTTTAAAGTTTCGCGTTTCTATCTTCAAAGGAGGGGGAGTAGGGGGGTGCGCATTTCCAATACGTCAATAATATCTTTGTCAACTAATTTGCGACCACCGTGTTTTTGTCTGTTTAATTGCTGTGATGCGGTGCTTTGTTTATAATTTGAAGAATTTTGTTTGAAATAATCGTGTTCTTAAAATATATGACGGTCAGAAATGCAATTAGAAGCCCATTTTTTCACGCATGGCTGCGTATGCCCTAGTCTCGACGCAGCAGAAACGATGTTCAAGGCTTGAAATCCGTGGTCGCACACTGGTCGTTCGGTCGCAAATACGTCTTCAGAGTGTCGTACTTTGGTGGTTTGTATAGCTTTAACCCCTGGTCGTAGAAAGTTAATTCGAAGTTCAGCGTGTAGAATAAATGCCAATGCACCTACGGTGAAAAAATTAACGGGTTAGAAATATTGGTTTTTGTTTTATAGCGGTTTGAATGAAATCGTCCGCAGACTGGCTACACCACCCTAGCTATACTTGGCAAGCTCTATGACATGATTGTGACGTCGTAGTGACGTAATTTTTGGATGACATAGTCAGGTGGGGGTTGGGAATAACATATACAAAATTCGTTATGCTACGCCCACCGGAAGTACTTGTGGTACTAAACTATACTAGACCCCGAATTTTGTATATGTTATTCCTAACCCCCACCTGACTATGTCATCCAAAAATTAAGTTACTAAGACGTCACAATCATGTCATAGAGCTTGCCCAGTATATCCACCATTGTCCGTTGGGGACATAGTCATGTGGGGGTTAGACAAGACATATGCAAAAATTGTTGAGCCAGGCCAACTAGAAGTGCATGTGAGACTAAAATATACCAGACCCATTTATTGTACCCTGGGTGAAATTGTGGGCATTCGGGTAAAGCCAAAAAATTTTGATCCTACAAAGTTAAAATATCTAAGCTCAACTAAAACATTATTATTTCCTGACCATTCTGTATTCACTGTCATGTTTCAATAATGAACAAGCCATTCCAGAAATAAAGCAAAATCAATGCATTTATAAGACATAGGGCAGTAAAACTTACGCTATAGTAGAAGCCCTATTTTTCTATATTCATCGAGTTTCATTTAAATGGATTTTTGTATTTTTCAGCCCAACAGCATTGGAGCAATTTCTAGTTGATCCAAATCAACTGTCTGTTGTAACACAATTTTTTGCTGCTGATGGATTGAATAAGTTATTCATTTACGGTCGACGACCAGAGAACAGAGCATGGATGCAGGAAGATTTAAATATGACAACATCGTTGATCAACATCTCGGTAAATATTGACAAAAATCTTTATAATGATTAGACCCGAGCCATCTTGGGTCTTTCCAAAGCCCTCCACAGCACTTTTCAAAGTCATCGATAATAATAATCACATTTTGTTCATAATAAGGTACCATATTTTACGGAACATAAGATGCGCTTTAAATACTTTTACTACTTATTTCAAAACCCGTTCATGTTCCTTATAAACTGTCCAATCTAAGCGATTCATTGACAGTGCGTCTTATAACCTGGTGCACCCATAAAATTGTTTATCCACTTCTACGAATTTTTTTCCTGTTATGCTCCAACTGATAGATTTTTGGGGTCTTGTGTAGTTTTGTATCTCAAGAGCTTCTAGTGGTCGCAGCATAACGATTTTTTTACATGTCAATCCTAACCCCCACCTGACTAGGGCATACGCCAAAATTACGTCACTACAACATCACAATCTTGTTATAGAGCTTGCCAAAGTATACCTACTATCGCCCAAAATGGCATCTGTGCCGACATAAAAATCTCACCAATGGCAGCAATCTCTCTCATATCGGGATCGTTGCGACGAGAAAATGAGAGAAATACCTTGCTCGATTTTGGGTGTACGTATGCGAGTTTCGGATGGCAGCTAGTTTGAACCGCCCTATGAAATTGTAGGGGGTTAGGATTGACATATGCGAAAAATTGTTATGCTCCGCCCACTAGAAGTACTCGAGGTACGATACTACACTAGACCTGATTTTTTTATCCCAAAATAACCATCTAGTGACTTGTTCCATATCTAGGTACCAGCAATTTGAAATTGATTGATTATTTAGTTGCAAAGGAAAGTGATTTTTTTTTACAGCAACAATTTAGAAAAACGACCCATATATATTCACTTTGTGTCCAATAATAGTATAAATATAAACATGTAAACTTTTTGATTT